GGCCGAAAGAGCTGATCAACGAGATGCCTGGCTGCATCCATGTATACATATACACCCTTGCAAAATAACATGTTACCTGAAACGCAAAAAAACCTTTCTTAACATGGCACCTGCGGAGCAGTGTTTTATCTTAACATGGAAGAACAAGTCCACCCCATGGGGTCCTTTTTTCTATGTTAAGATTTAAAGTTCACATCGTGATTTTTGAGGTTAACCTGGACCATCCCGCGCCAATTTCACCCCTCAATTAACATGGACGTTTTTTGTTGTTGTTGTCCATGTTATTTTGCCAGGGAGTATATATATACACATTTATATATTTATTATGTATTTATATATCTATGCATCTCCCGGTGATGTGGATAACTATACCATCTATGTGGAATAATCGTAAGAATCGTATTAGTACTAGTAATAGTAGTGATAATATTGTGATATGCATATACCAATATAACTGGGATAATGAGTTATAACATATGTTATTTTTACTGAATGTGTATCCCAATCAAAAAACAACCATACCTCCATCACACATGGATTAAACCCGTCAATTATCATCAATTAAGGGTCATCCTGGGTCATCCCAGTACCCCATTACCAAACTATCTCATGTACGAAAACTGTTTGCTTGTTTAAAAAATGTGTGTGTGTGTGTGTTTGTGTATGTTTATTGTACATATACACACCTATTCGGTCTGTTTATGGGCAATACCCCCGCGTCTCTTGGCAATTGTGCCACCATGGAATTTCTCCACATGTTCAGAATCAAATTACAAGATGTTTCTCGGTAGAACATCTAGTCGAAACGAACTTAAACGGTTAACATGCAATGTTTTGCAGTCTCCATACCCTCCGGTGAACTAACATTGCTTTTGCCAAAATCATCATGTTAATGTTAATAGGTAAAAACATCGAAGTAAACCGGCAATTTTCGATAGCAGACTGTGAGTTTAGCGCAGCCATGGAGGGTATAGAATCCCCAGTTTCGTTTAATCCCAATCCTGTAGCTTCAACCATTCAAAGGTGGATAGTGGATACCATACAGTGGATGGTGGCAACATCCACCAGTTGATAAGTGGTCACCCATTTAATCAATAAGGTTTCAACATGTTTCAACCATCCAAGGTGCAGGATTTCCCAACCCACAGTATCCCCGCAGAAAATCGCCTTGTCAGCTTGTCCAAGGCATCCTTTTCCTTCTCTTGCAAGCCCTTAGCCAAAAAGCTGGGCTTTCCTCCACCGATAAACGCCCAAAAAACAAACATGACGGATGGACAAAAGCACAAATTTGGGACCATAGAATGGGGGTGCCAAAAAATGAACAGGCGATGGGATGAACCTCAATTTGTTTATAGTTACAGAAGTCCCCGTTGATGGTGATATCCCATGGGATAGCCCTATAGAATCACCACTCTTGCTTCAAGGAGGGGAGCAACTTGGAGCAACTTGGAGCAACTTAGCTACGAGACCCAACCTATGGTCAGTTCCATGGGATCGGAGACTAAATGTAACGTGGGCCCCAGTTGGAGACGGAAATCATGAATCATAGCTGGTGTAACACCAGGCTTTGATTCAGATCCCCCGCTGTTCAAACATGTTCAAACATTTAGGGTATGGTAAACCCAATTTGGTTAACCCCATTGTATATATTTGCATATCCCATCATATCCCCATTATATTTTCATTGTCTACCTATTATATAAACCATTTAAGGGTAAACTCAATAATGAACATAAACAGTACATGCACCATTCTCAATAATTCCAGACATGGGTGGTATAAAACCCTCCTCAACTGCTAGGTTTGTGACATGGAGTTTACCGCAATGCTGCACATTACCAGGGTCCATCATTGCCCACGTGATGCAACACATGTTTCGTGCCAGGCCGGACCTTCAGTTTGTGCTCCATCTTGGCATATTCCTCACGTCGGATCTTTTCGGCCATCGCCTTGTCAGCGAATCAACGGCTAAGCCAACAAACATACAGAACATCCAGTGGTTTATCATATCTTTCCATGACATCAAACTGTGATTTCGGGCTTCAACATGGTTAAACCATGTTAAAACCAGATATTTCACCATCCCCCATCGCCATTTTTATAGGTGGTATCCATTCACCATGCATCCATTCTCCTCCCAGGGGCTATCCGATGAATGATCCGTCGATCCCGATCCGAAAAGGTACACCATGTGTCATTGGAGGGGTTTAAGGGAAAATCTACAGGACACCACGTGTTTTTTACCACCACACATGGGTGTTTCCTGTATTAAAAAAAAAACGTACACCAAATCCAATGAATGTTAAACCCTCATATTTGCTGACTATGGGAATGGTGGAGTGAACTCAAGCTTTGGGGGTACAAGATATTTCTTACCTCGGTCAGACTTCCTGATATTGGATCAGCGTACACCCATACACACACACAATGCAGCTATCGCAGGGTTCAAGATTTTCAAGGGTTGTCAAGAGGGGGCAAAACAAAACAATAAAGCGACTTATGGTAGTTGAAGGGAGACAAAAAATAGGTTTGATTTGCAATAAATATATGGAGTGCAACCAACCCGACCACACTTGAACAACAAAAACACTGCACCCAGGACGGCTTGGCAACTCAATCTCACATGGACATGAACTGACCTGTTGAAAATAATAACTAATTTGGTCTTCAAAACCCCGTGGATTTGAAGCAAGAAGAGCGTGTTTTAGCAAGTTTCAGAGGCAGCACTGGAATTGAGACACAATTGACCGGAAACTATGCTTACTTAAACCATCTTAAACCCTTGTTTTCCTTTCATGGTCTGCAAATGTCTACAGGTGTGATCTATGGTTCGGTCACTTATGCAACAATCAAATGAAGTAAATATGGTGTACCATACTTGCTGGATGTGCATCGCAGCGAGTGCACCTGCAAGGCCGCCAAATAGGGCACCGCCCCTTGCGATGCCTGGAGAAGGCTACCCGACTCAATCCGATTTCTGGAGAGTTGAACAAAAAATCCGTGCGATGCTTTCTGGTTGGTGGTGCAATAACCATGCTGAAAAATATGAAAGTCAATGGGAAGGATGATCCCATATATTGAATATATTGTGGAAAATAAAAAAAATGTTTGAAACCACCAACCAGATATGCTTTCATCAAAGACTGGGAATTCAATCCACAACAATGTCGAAAAATTGGATCACAGCTCAAAAATTGGGCTAAACATCGAGCCGCTTTTCTGAATCTGCGGATTGCGACAACCATTGGATAATTGGATCATCAATGCCCTGTGGTTTTCCAAAACATGGCTGGCTGGAAAATCCATCATCATAGAATTGGATGATGGGAAAATTTACAGGAAAGCCCTATATTTGATGGTAAAAACCATGGTTTCCTGTAAATTTTCCCTTAAACCAATCCATTGATTATAGAGTTTGCTTTCCCATTCAAACCTCCATGAGAAGTTCGTTGGATTTCCCAGCTTAGCCATCTGCTACCTCTGCGATCATCGAACCGTTTTTTGCCCGGCTAAACGATGGGTCAATTCATGACCAGGTCCAATGACTAGCTTTATGATTTCAATTCATTCGAACAAATATATCCTCGTCAAATGGGATCAGCATCGATCAACCAGAAGATGGTGTACATGTACACAACAAAGGTATTTTTTCACATTTTTTCACTAGAATCCTCCGATTGGACCAAGGCTTTATGACTCAATATGACTCGCCAATCAAACGAGAGTCAAATCTCGGAAGTCTCTCGGACCTCTCTGTGTGGTTATGGTGACAGTCATGACAAGTCCACATTATAGGTTAATTAATGTGTTCTATATATCTTTACGTATCTATACATTATCAACTATCTCTATTTTAGGATGGTTATTTCATGTCATATAAATCATGTTAGTTAAATCCGAGTTTTTTTTTTCGAAACTCTGCCACGCCGCCTGCCAGCACTTGAACTTGGCGACCTCCTCGGTGATGAATCGACGGGCCTGGCGCTGATGCGAAGTTATGTGACACTTAATCAATGGATTGGTTTAAGGGAAAATCTACAGGAAAGCCCCATATTTAATGGGAAAATCTATGGTTTCCTGTAAATTTTCCCTTAAACCAATCCAATCACTTAAGTTTCAAAGGCCCAACCTGAAAAAAACACCATGTGGATGTGGGTCAAAATGGAAGACCCAGGGGACCACAGATGTGAATGTCTAGTTTAGTATTCACCATCCATAATTTTGGGGTACCTAATTTTGACCCATACCCATATCACATCATTTAACTACTTGTAATTTCGCGACCATGTTAGATTTAGAGCCAAGTTAAGATTTTCTTCACTAACATGAGGTGGACATTGCTGGACCTATTATATACTTATTTGGCATTAGTCTTGACAGGTATTAAGCAATCTATTTTTGCATCCAATAATTCTGGCAATATAGATCATGTCACCTCTTTCTTCTAGTTTGCCAAACATGTGTTACAAACATGATTAAACACAAAAAAACAACTGCAGAGTGTTGATTTTCAGGGGCACATGTTTGTTATACACCATTCCTTAATCAAAAATGAAACCTGTGCTGATTTGGTACAGGAGTTGATTCTATACTTGTTTTCACAAAATAACCAGAAATGATCCATGCATGCACCAACCAAGCAATTGATTCGACCGATACTGTCGGACAGTCCTGACCTTGGGACATTGTCAATGTGAGTAAACATATATAGATGTATATTAAGAATTATTAAGATATCAAATCACTAGTCGAGAGACAATAATGCCATTCATTGGGTTGGTTTCTATCGGATTTCCATCATGGATGATCCTCAGCAGGGTTTCGACCGGCAATGCTCAGCATACCTTTCCGAAAAATCCGTGTAATCTGTGTGTAGCTAAGAATGGAGATTTCCCAATCTAGCAATGCTTTCCATATGAGCCAAGTTACCAAGAAATAATGACCTAATCAATAAAAAAACTCAGTTCTTAATATTGCTATAATTAATTAAAGCTATGTAATATATATATATATATAATTCCAAACATGTTCAGCAATTCACAAAAAAATAGGTTTTGATAAATCCACTCTTGAAGATGATACACCCAGATTGAATAAGCTTCCATTTTCTCAGTTTCTGATGACATAAGATGATACACCCATTGGATAAGTTCCCAGTACTCACTATTGATGTTCTCTTGTAAACTAACAGTTCGATGTGGTTTATCACCCACCATGAATGTAGATCATTTTCCGAACAGGTTTCCCAACGGGTGTTCCACATCATGACATCTTTTTGTTAGTTGACCCTAGGCTAAATCATCCATGGTAAATCACAACATAACATTCCTATGGGATCATTAAAAACCTAGTTATAATCCCATTCAATCCCATTCAATCCCATGAAATCACCATTAAATTACCATCGAAATCATTGTGAAATCATTGTGATCTTTCCATTCACCATCTCTTTCTTCGTCGCGGGCAAGTCCTCGGCTTCCAGACCTTCTTGACCTCGGCCTGGCGCTTCATGGCGTTCGCTTCCACCACCTCGCAAACGCGTTTGATCTGCGGCTTGAAAGCATGCTTGAAAACCCATAGATTTCACCATCAGTTTTTGAAAGGTTTCAATGATTTGCAACGGTAAATCTTTGCATCGTCCAATTTTTTTGCGGGCTATGTTCAATATGAACATCATCGATGATGTTCTGCTTGACAGTTCAACGTGACGTTTTTCGGCTTGTTCTTGTTGGGTGACCCTTTCAGGGCTCAAAGTTCAAAGTGACTTCAAAAGGGATGAAACGGTCAATTTGAATAACTTGGTGTGCAATCAACCTTGGATATGGGCCAAACTCCGGAGCCCATAAAATATCCACAAATGTTAATGGTTCACGACTTAAACATATCAAAGATGTGACTAATCCATACTTGCCACACATTCATATGGGAGTCCGAAAATATGGCATATGGCACCCAAAAAAGGTTGGTTGATCGTCACCTATGATTCAAAACAACACCACTTGCAATTTTAGGGGTATCCACCATTTTTGGACATACAGAGCTTTTTATTGCTGGAACATCACCTTTATATACCTTTATACTTATATTCCATGGATGTCCCATGTTCTTTGAACTTTCAGGTATCAGATTTGCAAAGGGCACCGCGGTCACTGTCGTGAAACTTGATGGGATATGGTGGAACAATGATGGGATATGGTGGGACCCCCATGGACCAGTGCTGCCGTGAGCCGGCTCCAACCCCCGGTGGTGTTCTGATCCAGGATATTCTCCATTGATTGAATCCAATTGTAATATATATATATATACAGTATATAATATATAATATATATATATGTATATAGAATTATATAGAGTCCAAATTGGTTCTACTTTACCAAACCATGAATCATGGCATCTTCGGGTTTCTGGGCAACCAGCTAGTAAACCAACCATGTCCACAGGACATCTTAATGTCAAAAAGAGCTGTCCATCTTGGGGTACCCCGGCCAGAAACAATGTCAATCTATGGTGTCTTTGGTTTACATGGAAAATCGTGAAGCAATGCCGGGTACACGGTACATGCGGAGTATGGTTATAATTATACCTCAAATTGGGCTGGCTGAATACACAACATTATGGGTGTTGACATTGACAGTATTGAGCTATCTCACAGATATCAAAATCAAATAAAAGTCAATATACAGAAAGCACGCGTGGTCATCATTCCACAATACCACGGACAAAACATGGTCTGTTCAAATCAACATTGTAATACCTAAACCAGGTACCTAAATACACCTAAATGTCGCAGGAAAGGTGCATGGTTATGAGTAAAAATTGGGTAATGAGATGGTATTTTTTCAGCAATGGACAAAAATTGCTGGTCCCAAGGGTCTTGCCCCCACCAGGACATGCCAAAAAAAGGCCGCCTGGAGGATCCAGGGACTTATATACTAACCTTTCCTGACCGTTTGGTTATTTTTCACACTTACTAAGTGGGATGATCCTTCAGTAGCACCCCCTAAAATTATCTTCTTGTCAAAACCTGTGTTTTTTTTTTCCGTCGCACCTTCTTAAGATCATCCACAGAGTACGAGGTCACACGCTCCACCTGTGCGGGAACAGGATTATCCACAGAAAAAAAGGGAAACAATCCCAGATCCAACTAAAATCCTTCAAAAAATGGAACGTGTTGGAAACATGAAGAAAATTGATGGTCTTGGAAAGTTGACATCTTTGTATCAAGAAAAAATGGAACGTGAAGTCACAGTCTTGTCACTATAGAAAGTTAAGTCTGTTGTAATCCCAGGGGTCTCTACCACGCGAAATATGGAGAAACTTGAGATTTGATTTCCACCACAAATGGGAGCTTGAAAACAACAAGCTTTACTCTGGACCAGTGGAACCAAATTTCATTTGTGCCTTTAGTTCCGTGAAAACAATGGTGTCTCAGTCAAGAAACCTGACTGGCTGGAGTCCTTGATGGGTCCATTAGAACCTGTGGCCATATTGAAAATAAAGGATCCAATTCCGGGGTTAATCTCCACTCCTGAAAAGCTTGTGGTCTGTTACCAGTTTAGTAGCAAGTTCGTGCTTTTTGGGGCTAGCCCCTAGTTTTCATAACCAGCTAAGATTTATTGACCTGGGGCTGACATTGGGTGTTTGGGACTGCCAATCAGAGTCATGTCAGCATCAGATTACAAACGGCTTTTATAGCAGGGATTGGGCCCTGATGCATCAAATGGGTTCAAACCAAGTCACAAAGATGCGCGTCCACTTCAAGCTTAAGCTGAAACAAAGGCTCACAGCAGCAACTGGATGCTGCCTCTTTTTGTCCATGCGCTGCCAGAGGTAAGTGTTGGCCAGTTAGAATTAGGGTCCTTTGCCCAGCCCGGCACCTGACACTTGCAACATCATTTCAATGCTGCAGATTTGGGCACTGTAGGCAAGAAACCTGCTCCTGACAACTTCAAAGCAGCCATGGCATCTATCACTGGAGCCACTGGCACCGGCCAAAACGTTGGATGCTGAGAAAACCCCATGGAAAACCCCATGGATTTCCTGGGAATTGCCCAAGGTAATGTGTCCACATCAACACCCAATGTCAGTTCAAGTGATTCAAGTGGCAAGCAACGGTTCATCTTACCATCATGCGATATTTATGTTGGACATGTCCAAGCCTTTATTCATGTCATATATATATATATATGTCATATATATATATTTGAGGTGTATCTATATATATATATATTGTATTGGTATGCAGGAGAGTTTTTGCATTCAATTAGAAAAGCAAATATATTCCCGAATCCCGAGCAAGTGATTTTGAAGGCACTTGCCAGATAGAGGCATGGAATATTGATTCAAATGAATATTGAGTCAAAGAAGGTTTTTCAAATTCCTTTGCAGCAAGTTTGTTTCAATGAAAATGCGTGAGGATGCATGAGTGCTTGCTTTCCTTCATGGTGTCAACCCAAATGATCTGATGTGTATCAGATATTATCAGATAACCCCAGATGAATTCACAACTTTTGGACCAACAAACAGCTTGGTTTTGGCTCACATCATATATGGCTATATCCACGTTCATAACCATATCATTAACCATATCATTAACCATATAAAAGCCATATAATTAACATCACCCCTTTAGGGGCTTCTTTCGCCATCTCCCCGGGACAAAATCCCTGCCTCGGCACAGTCGCCGGCCACGTTCAGAGGCACCGAGATGTCCACCAACCTCAAAAGGCGATGTCATGCTGGGGGAAAGTTTAAAAAAACAAGGGGGAAACACAATATGTGGGGGGGGGGTATCCATGCATGGATGGTTTATTTCATGGAAAATCCCAATCTAAAACTGGCTGGTGGTTGGTCAATGTCTATCATAACCATTGATGGTTGAGGATTTAATCAATCATATGGGGATATGGATGGAATTGGATGGATATGATATAATCTGGTTTCTGTATGTTTCTGGTTCAAGCCCTCTGAAAAATGATGGAGTGAAAGTCAGTGGGGATGATTATTCCATATGATTCCCAAGTGAATGGAAATTCAATATTCAGCCATGTTCCAACCCACCAACCAGTTAAACCAGTTATTTATTGACAATAATCATATGAAAATCTAAACCAACCAGTACTGAAACCAACATTTCCTGACTTAAATCGATCACAAAGTTGATCCCTTGAAGCCCCGAGCTGCAGAATAAAGATCACTGGGGATCATCATCCGAAGTTGGCTTGGAGGGATATACCAAAATGATATGTTTATATGTATAATATATATATATACACATTATATATATATCTATCCATATATATATAGATATGTATTAAATATAGATATGTATTAATACATGTAGTATTGTATTTATGTATAATATATATATATATATATTTATGTGGAGATGAAGCATAATCGAGCCCACAATCCAATTTCACGTCTCATTCTTTAGCGCAAACGAATGCGCCAATGTGAAACCCAAGTACGTGGAAGTGCCCCAAGTGACCCGTTTACATGACCAATGACCCAAATTGCGGTTCTAGATGGGAACCATGGCCAAAGAATATATATATATATCATGAAGCATTCCTTTCCATCACATTAATCAGAATTGACGACGTGGATTTGTTTGTTGGGTCATCATTGGTTTGGCTTCAAATCACCAAATCGATCCAAGCTATGTCTAATTTTTCAGGCATGAAGTCAACAAGAAAGGTGATGATTTCAGATATGTCAAAAGCCAACCGTTGGAACTTCTCTAGCAACCAAACCAAATTAACCCTTCACCCTTGTGCTTAATCCAGTGTCTTGATCTCTGGGAAAAATCATGGGCCGGTGTGTTATATCATGTACTGTGTTGTGTATCAATTGTGAGCAAAACATGGGCAAATGAACACCGTTGATAAAATCAACAAACTAAGGGGAAAAGGGGACATTTCTCATCCCGAATGGAGCTTCGAGGACAACCCCATGCAGCAACCTAAAATGGAACCACTTTTTGCCCTCAAATGCAAAAAACCATTGAGCTGGGACGTAAACTATCCGATACTTTCCCATCAAAATTAGAAAATGCACGTCTCCCACAAAAGACACCTTCATCTCACCTTCAGGTTGACCAAGTACACTATGAACAACAAAATAGTTGGGAGATGGATCTCCATCCCATAAATGTTGATCTATCCGAATCTATCCATTCCTGGGATCGAACGGAAACCAGTGGCGAAAGCCATGATCTACAGTGTCTACAGTGTATTTGCAGTAACATCAAATGATCTTGTGAATATTTTCCCATCAAACCGGCAAACAAATATCCGCAGGACCTAAATCTACACCCCACATCTCACACCTTGACCCAGCAGTTGGCCGTTTTCCCAGTGGAGCCATGTTAAAAATCATCTCGGGTGATTTGCTACAAGGGGTTATACTGCTTGATTCATTGGAACTTATGATAACACAATAGGCATAGCTGGGATGGCTCAGCTGTTCCCAACGGGTGCCGAAAGGCATGAGATTTCGCTCCAGTTCCTGCAAGTCCTTGGCGTGGATGATTGGCACCTCCGCAGCGATGGGAAGGGATCAAAACGCTTGGGGAAGGCTGGCAGCAGTTTGGCATTTTTCAGAGGCCGCTATGGATATCTATGGATTCCCATTCCCAAAAAAAGTTCCGTTAATATGCTTCTCATGCGGGACTCCCGTTTCTTCTGAGGGTTAAAAAATAGAAGTAGAATTCTATATATGGTTCAGAGACCCTTTTCATGTTGGTTCAAGACACCATAAAGACTTTGGAAATTCCAAGCATCCCCAAGAAATCATGGGATCACAAGAAACCAACACAATATATGGAAGTTGATCTATATTGTTTCATCTGCAGCCATGCTTCGCGGATAAAACAAAGCTTTGGCGAAACTTTCGCGACTCCCACGTGTTTCTGCTATGGCTATGGCTATCCACAGCCAATTGTGCTGCGATGCGTAAACGGCAGCTCTGTGAGTGACCTGGCAACTGTGTATATTATACTTTTTATACTATTACGCGGATATACATGGCTTCGGGTCTCGCCTCACTGCAACAATGGGAAGTGAATGATTGGATTGGATTGTCTCAGGAACAACAAATATACAGAAGAAAACATAGGAACACCGTGGTGGATGAAAACAGCATGAACAAACACAAACCATGATTTTCTTTAGATTTCCCTCAAACCAAGTCATTGAATGAAACTTTGCAAAAGCCCCGCGCCGGCCCCCACATGATTCCACAGGCCTTGCTGCCAGTGGCAGTGAAGGTCACATCGCTTTGACGCATGACGTCAAACATCTGATCCTCAATAGCTGCAACGTGGAGATTCACATTTTTGTGTGGGTGTATTTCTAGATCATATATGAAAACCTCAGGGGAACATTGACAAACAGGGTATCCATAATCCATTCTGGTGGTAACACATCTCATGAATTAGTTGTTTTTTTGAAAAAAAACAAAATCTACGGGGATCCAGCACTGGTGAATAAACAAAAGGTAACCACTGTGGTAAACATTAATCATCCAGAAAAGAATATGCAAAGATATGACACCAACCAGATACTTGGGGACCTATGTAGCTTCACAGGTGATTGAACCACAACACAAAAATATGGAATGATTATCCAAGTAAAATAATCTATAATTATATAATTTATGGTGTAATTTACATGGTCCGGTCCGGTATAAATGGACATTCATAGGATATTAATGGTATACACATGGGATACTAATGGGATGTTAATGGGATGTTAATGGGATATTGATGGTAGATCTGGGATATACTGTATGAATATGGTTGTGCCTGGAAATGAATAACTACCTTGAATCTATGGCATGGCAGCATTATTATCAACGACTGGATTTTGGGGGTGACCTTTCAAACAGACCCATATCATGCCAGGTAAGTTGGATGAGATAGTCCTAACAAACCAAGACAAAAAGGGGATTTCATGGCATTTCCCAGTACCAGTACCAGGTTGGAGCACAAAAGCGCGGGTATGTCCAAACATTGGGTTCCATAGGAGTCTCTTAGCAAATGGACCATGCCATGGCTAACCCTAGCCGCAACAAGTCCTACAGTGGGATATCATATTCCGCAATAAACATAATCAACACAGCTGCCGCAGTTGACCTAATAACTGCAACCCCATTGGATCCGTTGGTGGGAATGATATGGAATTATATGATTGTCATATTCAATATGTTTATATAATTATAATTGATAATTGGAACATCAATAAGTCCCATTTTGGAGCGATCCATCCATGTATACTATCATCCCAACCAAAATGGCTCAAAATGCAGACATGAAAACCGACCGTTCACCAAACAAGGTTTACCTCGCTACACTAAATATTGGTTGAAGTTTAATCCCCCTATTTGCTCGTAAAACCCCTATTTATATAAAGTTTTTTTCTCTTGGCACTCGCCAACCACTATTTAGCCATGATGAAGAACTGAAATACCAAATGTTGAGGATTTGTCGCTTCGAAATTCAGTTCTTCGCTTCGTCAAACACCAAAATTTCCTCATGCAGTTGTATTAAGGTCAAATCCCCACGAGGCGTCTCTTGCCAACATCCTGATGGATAGATCCTCTAACGTCTCTAAAGTCGGCTACGACAAAGCTGATGGAAGTTGAGAGTCCGTGCAAGTTGCATCAAAAGAAACGGGCCGAAAGACTGCACTCTATCGGGAGGGTTCTCTTAAACTGCTGCTTACTCGTGGTGATCCGTGGAAAATCCTAACCAGGTCGATACCCAGAGGGTAAACCATATATACTACGGTTTCCCCGTCAGCTTACCAGGGGTTGTTGGGTGTGTATAGTAGGTAGATACCCATACAATTTATATATATATAATATGTTGGTGGTTTTACTTATGCTTTACCACATGGATCGTGGTCAAACATAACCATGATCCCATGTATATATAATTATATATATATGATTATATATATGATTATATCGTTATGGTTGTTGTTGTTGCTATTACTATTGTTACTATTATATGTTATTATTATTATTGTTATTATTATTATATTATTAGTATGAATTATTATTATTATCATTAATATTATTATTATCATCATTCTTATTATTATCATCATTATTATTGGTATCATGATTATTATTATTATCATGATTATTATTATTATTATCATTATTATTATTATTGTTATTATTCCACTGAGATGATTACTAATCCATTGCTATTGAATCTGCGGCTGACTTCACTCCATTTCCTGCGGAGGAGGCTGATAGCAAAGGAGTGAGGGACTCCCCACATCCGAACATCAGAGCCAAGCTCTCCACGTCAGAACATTCAGTCTCAGATGGAGAGGACCGCCCATCGCGCCAGTCACCACTTTCTGTCGAGAATCTGGCCAGGACCCTGGTGAATTGGCCTTGCTGATATCAAATGGAGGTGTCCCAAAATTTGGGTACCCCAAAATCATCTAGATTGTCCATTCTAAACCCTCCAGCTATATATTATATATTATATATGTATAGGGGTACCCCCTTGACTTAGGGCACCTCCATATCTATAATCCACTAAGTGGAAGAATGTTTTTTGAAACTAGTCGACAAAAGAGAATGGATTCCTGAGAGGGTTTGGCTTTTGATTCAACGTAGATATCCTGGTTTCCACGAACGGTTGAACTGGCGAGGAGGACATCATACTGAACCTTGCAATATTACCGATGTCGAATTGGACCGACAAAGTCGGCATATCTCAGAGAATACCCAGGGACTCGTTGTTCAAAGTGTCAATGAGTCTTCCTGGGGTCGTGGAACCGGAATGCTTGGATACACTCCATGTGCCTTTTTCCTCATTCATTTCATTGTCCAATTTGATTTCGTGCCGGGAGTTCTTTTTCCTGAGCTGGGTTTTGGTACCTTGGTTCAGCGTTTTTACAGACTGTGGCTACAATTCCTCCTTGTTGCCTTCCCCCGGGCTGGACCAGAAACGGGGGCTGCGAAACATGCCGCACCATTCGGCCTCAAAACCCTTAAAGCTTTCAACATGCACTTAAATACACCTTTCAAGGTTCAGCTTTGGGCGGCATGTTTCAAGCCTCCATGCTTTGCAATCGTCAATCTTTGGGCGATTCACGTAAATTTAGACATAAATGGAAACCTTACTGGTCCTTGATTTGCAATTATGAACGATAATTTCGAAGGAGGTTCAAGTCGCTTCTCTCAGTGGGATGAGTCTTATTAGTTACCTGTATATGGACAATCAGCCAAGGGAAGAAAAAACGTAATCCACTAATCTGGTTGGTGGTTTCAACCATCTTGAAAAATATGAGTTCGTCAGTTAGGATTCTTATTCCCAGCAGAATGGAAAGTCATAAAAGCCATGTTCCAAACCACCAAGCAGATATTTCATTAACCACTATTAACCACTATTAACCACTATTAACCACTATTAACCACTATTAACCACTATTAACCACTATTAACCACTATTAACCACTATTAACCACTATTACTATTAATCACTATTAACACTATTAATCACTATTAACCACTATTAACCACTATTAATTGGGAAAGCATTATTGTTCCAGTCACCACCAACCAGCGGTCACTGACCACCCGCGTTACCGAGATGCCAGTGGCGCTACCGAGGCATTGGCGCCGCCGCGATTCTTGACCTTCTGCCACTGGAAGCAGCAAAGAATGCCACAGAAATGGTGCTGTAACTGGCAAACATATCAAACATGTGGTGAAAACGGGGGAATTTCACCTGCGACCATTGGGATTTCAGCAAGGAACATGGTAATTTATAGTCGATTCATAATTTTATGTTAGCGAAAGTGTTGAAAAGCACTTTTTCGCGAGGTCAAATGGGGATGAAATGGATGAACGTGAGTTAACATCCTTTGAGGGAGAGTCCAAAACAGCTGATGTTTTTTTTTTTAGGGGCTCGTAGGAGACCATTTTGATGATAAGGGTACCCCATCCACTGGCCAATCAAACATATCCCCACAAAACAGTGAATAGTGGCCATGACGTGTATACTTCCCATATCTTCCCATTTTCAGATACACCCGGATCTCCAAGCGCTTGAGCTTCACGCCATGTCATCATCCAAGACCTCTTGTGCTTTTTCCACAGAGCGATTCACCAGGGTCACCTGATCAACGGGTGGAATTTGGGGGTACCATATTCTAGTGGTTTAATGATCAACGAGTGGATCTAGGGGAAACCTATTCTATTATTGGTTTATAAGCCCATCTAAGAATGTTGTAAAATCTATATTGAAATTAACCAACTTGTCTATCCTGGGGGCCACACATTGTACCAATTGCTCCCAGGGACAAGTATATTATATTGCAAAACTACAAACAGACAACTAATGTTAACTTCATGTGGCTGAATTAGAAGAAATATGAAGGAAATCACGCTTCTTCGATAGACAAACAGCCTTTTTTTCTGTAACATGTCCGTTCAAGTCATGGATAGCTGGATAGCTCTAACTCGAACGCGCTGCGATGTTCTATCGGATCTGATTGGGGTTGTAACTGTATTAGACCTTGAAGGGTACCGCCACCGCGTTTGAGACTGCTAGGGTAACATAGGGTCACCATCAAAAGGATTCAAAAGGAGCATCTGTGAAACCTATATTGCAGAGTGGTAAAACCGCATTGAAATATATTGAAATAATGTAGCCACACCTGAGTAATGGTGCACCAAAATGATCCAACATTCTTGACTATGAAGGTCCTGCATCCCATTTTCATGCGAGATCTAGACGCCTTCAAGCACCAAACTCACATCATAAATATCACGGTTTTGCCTTTGAAGAAGCCAAACAATGCTTCTGATGCATTTTTGGTCACTCCATTCCTGCTTTGATGTTCTTCCGGCAAAACCCGGTTCCGATTCATCCGGACACCTTCGTTTTGGGGATATGTTTGGGCCATTCCGGCTGGAAGCCAAACTACTTTCCATGCTTCACCAACTGCCGATTTTGACATTCAAAAATAGTTTTTTTCACGTCAAGAGTAGACTAGAACTCCCACACTGCTCCATAATGCCATACCCCATGACCAGGATTATTTCCAGAACCTCCGCGCATCGGCTTTTTATAACCCCTACTGTGCACGAATCCAGCATAGATCAGATCAACCTGTCCCAAACATTCCTAACTAACGTAGCCGGAACCGGCTGCAATAATTCATAGTTGCATGATGTTGCATGGGTATATCTCGAGACTGGGTACCCAAATGTTTATCTTAGTCCATCTTCATCCCCAGTTCCTATGCAATTTACAGTAAGCATTCCTCAACCATAGATTTCCATAAATGTCCCAGCTTCATGGATCCAGAAAAAATCATAGGAACTTCCCCATTCAACTGGCCACATATTGGAAGGTAAATCCACGGGAAATCGCAAAAACAACTTCTCCCGGAGCCTTCTTTCAGTCAAATCCCAAGTGTTCATGATCAGATCCTCCCTCTGTCTGAAAATAGGATACCCCAAAATCATCCAAAATCCAGTGCTTTCTCATTGGAAAAATCACCATTCTCCTGATTCTCCTCCATAAAATTCGTAGGAGATATTGAGATACCCCAATAATAAAAAAAAACAACCCAGCTTTGGACACAGGGATAGACCCACCAGCGCCTTAATGTCCGGATGTTTGCTGAAGAGTGCCAGAAGCAACAGCCTTCGCTGAGGTTACTGGGAGCACCATGGGTGGTACTCTGGCCTTGTCATTCCTTGAATGGAGAAAACTGAGACGTGTATGTAGAGTGTATAGTCATCATATGTTATGAATGGAACCTTGACTGACCGTTTTGCATACAGTACTTCTTATCGAATGGAAGAACCAACATGAAACGACACACGATCGACCATCGGAGGGAAAAAACCAACGTTGCTTTCAAACGGACGAAGCAAAACATGCTATGCCAAGGGACTCTTAGACCAGACATGTTTTTTTTTGTGGATGGAACTTCCAAACATGTATGGCTCATACAAACATGGTCAAGAAAACGAAGGTCACAGGACCCCTGATTTCAACTTCGGCTCAAGGATTGGTTGTGGAACAAGCCGGGTTGTGATGTGTTGATGGTCGGAAAGTGGGAAGGTCACGTTCCGAAATATATCAAAATATATCAAAATATGAAATATGTTTGGATTTGCTTGAGCCCAAGAAGTGAAAATGATTCCCTATGGATTCCCTAGTGGATTTCACATTGGGACAGTAAGACATATGCTAGAGCAAATCCAGGGTATGGGCTCCAGTCTTCATGGTTACTGAATGATGTGCATCCCGTGTATACTAAGTGGTTCGTATCTATCGTCTATGGTTGTAATCCACTTATGGTTGTAATCCACTGATATGTGGGCTATAATTACTTACTGGTGCTTAGATGTGCTTAGCAGGGAATGAGGGAATGATCCATAATCACTAGTAATAATCATCCCATTCCCCCAGTCCCATCCATTCCCTACTAAGCACCAGTAAGTAATTACATGGATTGATATGGATTGTGAATAACCACCTACTGATGGTGCCGCCAACGCGGCTGATCTACAAGGTCCCGGTCAACCAAATCGCTTGATGCAAATCACTGGGTGAATAGGGATGAATAGGGGATATAACAACTATGGCTTTAAGGTAGATATATCTACGGTAACTACATAAAAAAAAAAAAAACGAAGTCTGGCCCGCCCTTCACATATTTAAATATCGTTACCGTATGGTTAATTCGTTTATAAACCAACCTACAACAGGGGGGCCTCACCTTGTACGATGAAACACTAACTTTGCGTTTGCCGGTGGGTTGTCCGTCTTATGTTGGGCTAATCCTCATTGTTATTGGTCAATCCCCCAATGAAACCCAAGGGTGAACATGAATAACAGTGTAGTGTCAGCCAATGTGTTGCTGGTCCAAATAACATCAGTTTTTGATGTTATTTGATGTTACTGGTTTTATTGATAATGGTTTTACATAACCCATTAACAGCCAATTGTTTTACCAATGTGTTACTGGTTTTGTCAGCCAATGGTAAAACAAAACCTGTAAATCACCGTTCCTTTGATGCCTTGATGGTTTTTCTCATGGCCCAAGGTCAAGGGCGAATCGGCTCACCTTGACATCTTTCCCGCGCCAATAATGGACACCTACAGCGCTGAGGCGATGCAACATGGCGAAGCTCCAATCGATTCTTCCATGATTTGGTACTAAAAAGTCTACCTGTTCTGGTGCTGGTTGGGTTATATACATTTACATACACATAATACATAATACATCATACATAATACATCATACATATACACATGTATTCATGCATGCATTCATCCATCCTTCCATACTCACTCCCAGTCTTGGAACAGATGAGTTGTTCCAAACCCATCCGCTTGGTTTCCCCAGTGAAACGCAAAGATTGAAATCGGCATTTGCCAGTCGAAACTTTTTGCAAGTAGTGAATTTCCCATTTTCAGGCGCACCCAAATATAGTCTAGTTCGTTACATGGAGGTTTCCCAAAATGGGTGTACCCCCAAACCATCCCAAACTAGACCATTTTGGTATTGAAACCTATGGTGACTTGGGGATCTCCCATTTTCAGAACCTCCAAGTATATCCCATTAAATCCCATTAAACAAAACAAACAACAAGGGGCCAACTCCACATGAAACCGCAGCGCCGCACTCTCAGGCTGCCGCATGCAGCTTGTTCGCAGGCTTTCGCAAGTCTTGCATCGCCCTGACCCAACAAGAGCACCAGCTGATGGCTTAAGACATATATTAAAATATGAGGGTTTCCCCAACAATGGATATCCCACAATGGATGGTTTATAATAGAAAATCCCATTAACATGGATGATTTCGGGGTACCCCCATTTCAGGAACAGCCCATAATTATGGGTTTCCCCATTTTTGCATTCTAAAAGACCAGACGGAAAAAAAACAAAAACAAACAATAAACCCATGTAATGACCAGCACATTACTTTTAATGAACCACGTAAAACATGAATTCATAGAATTGGATGATGGGAAAATTTACAGGAAAGCCTTATATTTGACGGTAAAAACCATGGTTTCCTGTAGATTTTCCCATCAACCAATCCATTGATTAATGGGTATACTCCGGCATGGTCCAAAAAAAATAGGGCTGGCCCCACTGTCGTGATCCCATCAATCAAGAAAAATCACTTTAGTTCGATTCCCATGATTTAGGGATTCCCCACTTTAGTACAACCAACCAAATAACATTACCATTATGTATATATATATATATCATATATATATATATATCATTGTATACATATATATATATCATCATATATATATACAGGATATCCCTTTTCTTAAATATGTCCTTATCAAATTTGGCCGGACACATCCGAGAAATTTCTCCCATCACCAAAATCCGTCGCCGTTTTGGTAAGGATCAGGCCTGGACATCATCAATTCCACTGCAGCACTGGAGACGGAGACGGAACCTGTCACCGGCCGTCGACACTGGCAGCTGGGAAGAGATTGAGGCTGGTTGGTGGTGCAATAACCATCTTGAAACATATTAGTTCGTCAATGGGAAGGATGACATCCCATATATGAAATGGAAAATAATCCAAATGTTCCAAACCACCAACCAGGAGGGGAAGGAATGACGAAGTACCAAGATATACCAATCCTGCAAGGGGTTTTTCGGACCGGTAAAGCTGAGAAAGATGTGCAACAAATACAAGTTTGATATGGAACTCCTTTTGTCAACTTTATGTCATGTGAAAAGGTCCGGGCGGTTGAAGATGGTTTTGAAGGATCTTTAGATTGAATTCTTGGGTGTCCTCACATCTTTGTGGCAACCATTTTCCAACGGTGACCTGGAGTTCTGAAGACACTTACTGTAAGACTTACATATTTAGCTTTTGCCAAAAAAATGGTAACCCTAAATCCGATGGATTCCATTAATCAATATTAATCAATCATCCTCTTAAACCTCTCAAAACTGCCATTGTTGGTGTATATACCCCATTTTCAGGCACAGCATGAGACCACTCGAGACCATCAATGTCACCATCATCTGCCTTTTCCAATCTTGGTTCGGCTGCGTACCAATTTGCCCATGCGAATCCTTAGCGTGGGACGAGGCAAGGCTGATCTTAGGACAAGCTGGGCCCCAGTGATGTTTGTTACAAAAACCATTTTATGTGCTAAACCCAAATGAGCCATCCCCAAGTCAGCAGCAATTTTTATGGGTGGTATATGCAAACCATCCCCAGTCATGGGAGTTGTAAAAATGGCAGGGTTTGAGAAGCCCACCTCGTGGGACTGTTGATGGGATAACTTGATTGAAGCTGTGGGCAGTGATTACTCACTTAAAACATCTGCTTAGATAGCCCGTTGTTTAAAAGCGCTTTGGAGACTTGTCAGGCCTCACTGCTACGAGTAAGCTGGCAGGCTGGCACCATCTATGAAGGATCATTTGCGAATTGTAGGAAGACAACATCAAGGAGATCAAGAATACAGAATACAGGGACATGGTCTACTCTACTTCGCAGGAGGAAACTTAGTTTTTCACAACAGTTCATCTGAAATCTGCTGTCCAGTTTGGACTTGTGCAATTGCATGATGAATTGATACCCAACGGCAAAACGAACGAGTGCACGCGCTGCATTTTTTCGGATAAATCTATCAGAAAGTACACATCAACATAATTTAACAATCTTATTTACTGTAACCAATGTAATAATATATATAGTTAGATGCACAAACAAGCACGCACACACACACACACGCAAATATATCCTCACATAATCACACATATTTTCAGCATAGCTCCATACTTGAATGATCTTGAATGATTAGCCCAAGGTCGGATCTTTTGAGAATTGGTTGACCTATGTCAAATCATCTTGCCCAAAAGTTGGGTCTTGGATATGCTGTCACCAGTACTGGGAAATCCAGGTAGATACCCTCCCCATGGTGACCCTCCCTGAATCTACCCTGGCTGCCTGGACCACCATCAGAGGGATCGCGCCACCCATGTTGCTTGGCTAAAATCAGTCGTCCCGTTTGACCGCACTTGAAACCAAGCAATTCGATTCATGCTGATTATCTGATTCATGGATTGGCAACCAACACATTTTAAGGGTTTTATAATAGTTTTATATGGTTTTATCGCATATCACCATGTTGATTAAACGCAGAACACATCAGCTGTGGTCTTATCATCCTCATTAAACGCTTGATGATTCATCCCGATGGTTGATTGAATATCCACATGGTGGTGAAATCCTGGATTTTCATCCTCCTGTGAATTTAAGGTGAAGGCTGTGTACGCATTTTGTAGTAAAGAAACGTTTTGCATAGCCTCAAGCTCTACTAAATGTACATGCATGATCGAATTTCACTACTACATGTGGGCCCTTGGTTCAGCTGAAGTGCGAGATTTTGATATATTTTCGACGTTTCTTAAGAGACCAACATGACTCGACTAACATATCAATTTTACCTCTCTACTAAATGTGGATCATGGGTCTAGAGATGTTTACTTGATTTTTATTGAAACAACATGATTCTCTACTAAATGGTTTCTGGAAATTTATCTGTAATTTTTTGGTTCACTTTCCGGGACCCAGGTCATTACTAGGGGAAATTCACACGGGGATGGATTTTGCTAACTAATTGAATCATATTAAAATTCTTAAAGAACATCCATACATCCAACATAAATCTCATGTCTATTGAATGAATCCCCACTTCTGAGTCATCCCACGCGGCATTCAACATCTTTGCCACGATCTTTCCACCTGACCTCAATGCGTGCGAGAAATGGAAAGACCCTGGAGTCACGTGCTGCCCCCCTGGTGCCACTTAGCTAGATTAGTGTATCACTAATATAACTATATATAGGGTTTATGGAAATTATGGACTTTATTGGGTATGGATTGCAATAAGTTGGGTAGCTCTAAGGGTGGTTAATGCATGTTAATGGGGATTTATAAACCAACTTATGACTCAGGGGGCGCTGGCTTGTGGAACATGCAACTTGCTGGTTAACTTTGGATTATTATCCCAGGTCGGATGGAAAATAATGTGTGAAACCATCAACCAGTATTTGTTTATGTACTTTTAAACAGTTAAACACCTTTCATGAATCAAATTTTAAGGGTGCAGTGTTGCAGCTATCCTGTAAATCTCAAGCAGTTCAGGCCACAGTTCCTTTCATCTCTGTATTTCCTCAGCCATCTATCTGCTAATGACCATTTCAAAAAGCAACGACAGAAAACCGCAGCTTTGAAATAGGTTTGCAAATCATGTTTTTCATGTGCATTTTAGTCCCTGTTCACCTTCTCTCATTTCCATCTACTAGTTGCTTGACAAGAATTCCCATAGTGGTTTTATCTGAAATCTCTCTTAAGTATAATCATAAGTATAAGTAATGTTTTAGCCTTACGCTGCGCAACAAAAACACCGGTTGCAAGGGAAGGTCCCCACGAACTTCTGGGTCCCCGCGGCCCTGCCACAGGCACGTCCTCAGAGATTTTCTGGATCGCATGCCTGGGCGGCCAAAGGTCCAGTGAAATGGTATGAGGCACAGTTTAAGGTCCAACTGGATCCAAAACCCATCATGTTTTGAATCCTCCCTTGAGATGATGAGATGAGATCTGCTGGCGGCGAAAGCGCTCCACCAAGTCGTCAAAACCAAATGAGCGAGTTCAGCATCCCAAGGCATGAAAAATACTTGTCAAAGTCGATGAGAATGGGTAGTTTCTTAGGAAATTGCATGAAAATTCCTTCATTGTCACTGTGTCCTTTGTGTTTTAAAGATATTCCAATGACTTCCAATCAAAGGGGGGTCACATTCCTTTCTCACATGACCCTTGTTGGCTGGTACCCATGGCTTGGTGTAACACCACTTCCCTGGGAAGTGGATGAAATCCCTATGTTTGTTGTAACTGATGTCTGTTGATGTTGTTGCTTGAACCGTGAACCCCCCCATTTTTTTTGGAGGATTAAATCCCGACGAAATCATCATGGCTTGATGGTTCAATAATGCTTAAAATAGGATCAACCATGGAATACTGTATGATTTACCCACTTTAAAATATGCCAAACAAAACAAAGTGGATGGCTTTGCTGTAGTGAAACCAAGAGATCACCCAGGCAGGTCTATAGCGGATGAATAGATGGTGAGGTCGGCTGGTGATTTATCGGTGTATATGATTGAAATCCCCTACTTGCTGGGTTAAATATCTATGGTAAACCTATGATTACCTCTAAAATGGGGTATAAAATAACATTAAAAACACACATCACATCATTTCTTAAAATACCTTTTTGGCAACAACAAAACATATGCTCCATGTATGGAATAGTTGCCAACATTAGGATACATTAGGGCTATTGTTGGGGTAAATGTTGGTAAATATTCTAGCACCATGCAGCATATGGACATGTCATTTACATACCAAGGTGTTTTTTGTTCGGCCAAGTCACTCGTGACATGCTTTCACCTGAGAAGGCTGTGAAGTGAACGACCCGGTCCGGAATTCCGCTGACTTATGCTGACTTGATGATGAATCTATCTGAAAATGAGATATACCATACAAATGACCATTTTACTAGGAAAACAATGATAAACTTAGATTTTGAGGTACGTAATTGTTCGACAAACCCATATCAACTGGTTAATGTTCTGTTTTTTATCAACATGAATCTGGGAATCCAGCAATTTGCATTGCTACTGTATGGGATTCCCATAACATCGATTATGAAATTCCGCTCTGTATTATTGACTAGTGTAGTTTGTTTTTTTTGTTATTATTTTGTGAAACCTGAAATCTAGATTCGGTAAGATTTGACCAAACAAGATTTGATGATCAATCACGGCAGTCTTGGTGGATCGTCGTTTTATAGGTCCTGCAAAATATCATCCAGATTGGTCACGTGCAAGGAACGGGTATAGCTTGCTGTACTAACAGTACGACGCGAACGAAAGAAACAAAAATATGCAATGCTAGAAATAATATTTACCTCTTTTGAGAAACGTTGCTTTTCTATTCATTGGGGAGCATCATGATATTATATTTTAGAATATTGCGCTATGTATACAAAGGATTTACAAAGGGTTAGTCGGTCTGAAGATAGAGTGTGCCTAAGTCATCGTTTTTTGACAATTGTCCTATTTAGGATTATTTAGATAGTTATCCTGGGGTATTACCGGTATACCGCATACACCATTTCTGGACACACCAATATGAGCCTGTAAGAGTAGCCCTATCCCAACTCATGAAATACTAGTTGATTGATAGGTTTCTCTACCAATAGCCTAGGTAGTATAACTCCCTATTTCATACCCAATCAACCAGGCCATTATCCATTATAATCCATTGTAATACATCATAATACATCATTAGAGACTATCATGGTGAATATTAGATACCTGTCAAAAAAAAACACTTTGTTTAGCTGGTTAGTAAATTTTACCATTGATAGCAAAAAACAAGTACTATTTCATATCTAACAAATGTTGACCCAGTAATATCATTCATATGGTCCCACTATAACCAATCAATCATCACTTATCATATTCAAACCAGGCGATTTTTCAATGTTTTCCAACATATATTGAACTACTGGTATATATATAATATAACTCCATGATGATGTTGTGGTTGACATGATGGTGAAAATGCTGGCCATGACAATCGTCCGTAACTCAGAAGTTTTCTAACTAAACTTCCTTTGATAATAATCATCATCAATATGCCTGGTTCATTGGTAGTACAACTCCCAACGAATTCACGATCCTCTCCACGCCTGTGCCAAGATCTGCGCTTCGCCCAGGACTAAGGAGTCGAGGCCAGAACTCACCTGCTCCACATTTCTCCACCATGGGTTCGGCAACAAAAATATTGGGAAAACGTGGGAAAACCATGGGAAAACCATGGGAAAAGCATGGGAAAACCATGGGAATACATAGGAAAAGTCTGGATGATTGATGTGTCCTCATTGAGTTTAACATGATTCAAACAACAGAGTAGCATCTGACCTGTGGAAACACCAGCAGTCCTACAGTCCGTCCAACCATTCAAGCCGCATCTGCACATGTAATTGCAGTGGATATGAAAGTTATGGTAAGTTGGTTAAAAGTGCTGAAAAGATCTGTGCAAACTCTTGGCTTTTGTAATTTATTGGGACATATCTGCTGCAGCTGTACAGATATGTTGGGCAGTTGTACAAACGGCAACTCGCTGGGAGGAATTGGTCAAGAATGACCATGCAGCTGAAGGGTCAACATTTTTTTCACAATGGTCAACATGTTTATATCACCATCAAAATCCATCAAACATACCTTTTGGACCTTTTGCACATTCGCAGAAAGATTGCCATGGAACCCACCATGGTCCTTCCGCTCCGTTGAGCGACTTGCAACTGGACAAGGCATTGGTCAAAGCAGTCCCGTATCCATGGTGAACTAAATGATCTACATAATATTGTTGGAAAGTTAATACTATGTATCAATATCTGATAAGCCAGCAATTGTAAGTGGTCGGTGGGGTCGGTGGTAACTTCCATTTCCCATTATTTCATGGTAAATTACATTAGTCATCCTTAAATCATCATGAAACCAAAGTTCATCCGCAGTTTTGTTTACACTAAATCATTCATTTCCCACTAGTCATGGATCAAATCATTCATTGATCTATCAATTTTGCACTCAACTCACCTCCACCTCCGGAGCTGGCTCGGAGCCTCAAAGAGATGCTGAATGGCATCTTCCCCAGTGTGGCTGAAGAGATAGGGTTCCAACTCCTGCGGTCGATGTGACAATCAGGACTTGTTGAAAATCCAAGTGGAACATAATTACTGTATCTTATAGCTATATAGTCATCCTGGAGTAGATAGAAGATGGAATTTCAATTAGATAATCCTAACTAGAATGGACATGTGTTTGAAAAAACAATGATAATATATATATATATATAACATGCAAATAAATACATATGTCACTCTCTACATCTACGTATATACAGTATATAAATGTATATAATGTTCATATACACAATTATATTATGTATACATATATATATATACATGTATATATATATACATGTATATCTATAATATGTATGTGTATATATATATACTGTCTATACTGTGAGCAACAAAGTGGGTATGTCCCAGTCTTGTTGCAATAAAAATGTGCAACTATTGTGGTTTTATCCATATTGATCCAAACATATAGGTCCTCCCAAATCCTAAAGTTATGACTTATGATCCGTGTTTGCATATGTCGCGATTCAAAAAATGACCGAAAATAGGGTGGGTCCGATGGTTGGAAACACTTCATCTGTTGGTTAGGTTGGTTGGTTAAACGCTCAAAACCATGTTACTTAAAATTGCATTTGGATTTGTCTGAAAATTTAATGGGGTATCATGATTTGTCCCTTTTTTTTCCCCAAGTGGCAATCTTAGGAGGGTGGGGGCCCCCTAAATAGCTAAGGTGACCTGTCAGGGTTTGTGGAGTATATAACTATAGTTCATGGGGTTTATACACCGACTTATAACGGGTGGAGGCCCACCTTGTAAGAGGGTGTACCACAATTTCCGACACAGCCACAGGGCGTTTTGGTCGACCAAAGCAGGATCCTCTGCGCTCAGCCCAGACTTGTGACTGAGGAAGGCGTGCACAGCCCTGAAAGCAGGCAGTGTTTCTCTGACAATTTTGGGCGTTGTTTGATTTTAAAATATATTTCATCTTTCAAAAGAACACATGTTCAATGATCCAACAAACAAAATAAGCAAAAAACGGAGAGTCTAATCTACCAATCAACGCGGAGATTTCAGCGAACAAAATGGGTTTAGAATCAACAAGATACGAAGAACAGGGTACCATGTTCATCATTTGTGGGATTATCAGCACGAATGATTGGACTAGATATGCGCGCACAATATTGCCATCAAAGGAATGTTCATCAAAAGGCAATGTCAATAGCAAAATGGGGTCAATTACCAGCCACAACAGGTATAGTGGGGCGGTGTATTGTAGCACATAAAAGCATGAAGGAATGTGACTGTGGGCAACAAATATATGGCTGAATTCACCAACCTGAAATGTGTTTCGTCATTTTGGGATGCTTTCCCCTTCGAAGCATCATCTGTTGTGATATCGGCCAGTGAGACCGCGATGGTTCAGCTAGATCTAATCCCCATACATTTTTTTCGGTGGCAAGTGGTAAGTTTCTTCATTCATAGTTCAGGAAATAACTACCACGTAGCAAACTTTACCCAGAGATTCCAAATGACGTGGTAGATACTGGTACCAAAAAAAGAAAAATCAGTGGCTGATGATTCTGTTTGGCATATACGTGAACCAGCATGTTTCCATATATTAGCCATATGCTCCGCTAAACGCTGGTACAGCACATTCGCTGCCCAAATTCCATCCCAATCAAGTGTAGGTAAACCTAAGTAAACCTACTAGACACAAACGACATGAGCTTTGGAGTTCCAGAGAAACTTTATACAGAGCAAACATAAGGAACCTATTATGGTGTTTCCCATCAACCTGAGGCTTCTCACAAAAAAAACAACACATACAACAACTATCTCTCCAAAAACAACCCCATTGTAGGGTCTTAAAATGTCTTATCACATATTTTGCTAACCCCAACATCCACCATGTTTTCTGAGGGCCGTTTCATGTGATCCACCTTTTTGGTGTCCACCAGGGTGAACTGCTGTCTCCGGGGTCCCAACTCAACAGCGTCAAACTTCTTCATTTCCTGAATGGAATGGGTCCGTTGAAAATATGCTGCCACTTTGGGGAGCGAAAAGAATCAAGTCCCCGAAAAAGCAGAGATTTTTGACCATGAAAGCCTCTGAGTATCTCATGTTGGAAGAACTACGCACATTAATTTGCGATCTAATCCATCAAAATCAAATAAAATCACGGGGTTTTGGGCCACCAAAAAACATCGCTTGATAACAAGAAGAGCATTGAACACGATTTTGTGGTTCCAAGCAGGTCTTGAATTTTGAATCGTGACTGACTTCGAAGACAACTTCTCGGTGTACGCTTCGCTCAGCTGGTTTCAACTTGATCCAAATGATCCAAATATGATAGACACATTCATAGGGGGGTGTCCTAAAATGGAGGATCCCCAGTCGGAAAAACCATGGGTTTCAATAGTCGTCATGGTCATTGACTTGGATAATTTTGGGTACCCCCAGCAGTTAGGAAACCTCCACATATATATTGAAATCTACTTTATACGAGATCATCAGCGAAGCATCGCACTGGAACTGGTCCAAAGGCCATCCGGAGTATCTGGAGGTAGTGTTCTTCAGTTGTGTTGGTTTACAGACTCCATGAACTACAACCTTAACTGTAAATATGCTTTGATTATAAATCATAACTATACTTGATTTGTTGGTTCTAGAACGCCCCTTGGCCCCATCAGCTTTTATGATTCAACGAGGGCTTCGCCAAGTGTCAGGGGAGGCAAAGTAGAGCTCAAAGCGATTGCACCTCGGCCCCGGCACATGAAACCCACGGCCAGGCGACCACGGCCACGTGGGTAAAACACACACCAAATGAAGAGGGGTGCAAAATTCAGGCTACTTTTATGGGTAATAACATGTAATTAATAACCATCGTGAACTACCCCCCCTTGTTTGTTGGGATATGGGGTTCCTATAACTATTTGAACTGGAACTGCACTTCCGAAGTGCAAGTGTAGCTGGACCCTACCCCCGACAAAAAAAACTATAGGCCCTGAAGAGTCAAAATCTGCCAACCAACTGGAGACCTCTTTGCTTGTCGGGATGGTGGTGGAGCCCTTGAAAAATACTAGCTGTCGAAGCCATTTTATATATTGATAGGTGGGATATGGGGGTTGATCAAAACATAGTTGCCGGTGTGTTATTAGAAATGACCTTGCGCCCGCCCTTGCGCTTCCTTGCGCTCTTCAGGGTTTTTATTGTGTTCCATTACATAGATTAAAATATGTATTTAAGAAGTGATTGCCGCAAAAAGTTGCTCAATTCAAGGGGGTGTTCACTGATCCAGTACGCTGTGCAACACAGACTTTTTTAGCCTTCGGAAGCAAAATCTGATGATTCGGAGCTCGAATTCTCAGAAGTTGAAGATTCTGAGGAGCTCTACCTACAGAGGAAATTTGATTCCCAAAACGGCCATTTCGAGCCAGAAAGCAGCTTTACGGGAATCAAATTTCAATAGGTATTGTAGAAGGCAAATATATACACATAGGAAATTTGATTCCCAAAACGGCCCTTTTGAGCCAGAAAGAAGCTTTACGGGAATCAAATTTCAAGAGGTATGGTTGAAGGAGAATGTATACACATAGGAATTTGATTCCCAAAACGGCCCTTTTGAGCCAGAAAGAAGCTTTACGGGAATCAAATTTCAAGAGGTATGGTAGAAGGAGAATGTATACACATAGGAAATTTGATTCCCAAAACGGCCATTTCGAGCCAGAAAGCAGCTTTACGGGAATCAAATTTCAAGAGGTATGGTAGAAGGAGAGTGTATACACATAGGAATTTGATTCCCAAAACGGCCATTTCGAGCCAGAAAGCAGCTTTACGGGAATCAAATTTCAAGAGGTATGGTAGAAGGAGAGTTTATACACAGAGGAAATTTGATTCCCAAAACGGCTATTTCGAGCCAGAAAGCAGCTTTACGGGAATCAAATTTCAAAAGGTATGGTAGAAGGAGAGTGTATACACATAGGAAATTTGATTCCCAAAACGGCCATTTCGAGCCAGAAAGAAGCTTTACGGGAATCAAATTTCAAGAGGTATGGTAGAAGGAGAATGTATACACATAGGAAATTTGATTCCCAAAACGGCCATTTCGAGCCAGAAAGCAGCTTTACGGGAATCAAATTTCAAGAGGTATGGTAGAAGGAGAATGTATACACATAGGAAATTTGATTCCCAAAACGGCCATTTCGAGCCAGAAAGCAGCTTTACGGGAATCAAATTTCAAGAGGTATGGTAGAAGGAGAGTGTATACACAGAGGAAATTTGATTCCCAAAACGGCCATTTCGAGCCAGAAAGCAGCTTTACGGGAATCAAATTGTAGAAGGAGAGTGTATACACATAGGAAATTTGATTCCCAAAACGGCCATTTCGAGCCAAAAAGCAGCTTTACGGGAATCAAAAATTCAAAAGGTATGGTAGAAGGACAGTGTAAACACATAGAAGGTTTGATTCCCAAAACGGCCATTTCGAGCCAGAAAGCAGCTTTACGGGAATCAAATTTCAAGAGGTATGGTAGAAGGAGAGTGTATACACAGAGGAAATTTGATTCCCAAAACGGCCCTTTTGAGCCAGAAAGCAGCTTTATGGGAATCAAATTTCAAGAGGTATTGTAGAAGGCAAATATATACACAGAGGAAATTTGATTCCCAAAACGGCCATTTCGAGCCAAAAAGCAACTTTACGGGAATCAAATTTCAAGAGGTATGGTAGAAGCAGAGTGTATACACAATTATACACTTATAAAATTTGATTCCCAAAACGGCCCTTTCGAGCCGAAAAGCAGCTTTACGGGAATCAAATTTCAAGAGGTATGGTAGAAGGAGAATGTATACACATAGGAAATTTGATTCCCAAAACGGCCATTTCGAGCCAGAAAGCAGCTTTACGGGAATCAAATTTCAAGAGGTATGGTAGAAGGAGAGTGTATACACAGAGGAAATTTGATTCCCAAAACGGCCATTTCGAGCCAGAAAGCAGCTTTATGGGAATCAAATTTCAAGAGGTATTATAGAAGGCAAATATATACACATAGGAAATTTGATTCCCAAAACGGCCCTTATGAGACAGAAAGAAGCTTTACGGGAATCAAATTTCAAAAGGTATGGTAGAAGGAGAATGTATACACATAGGAAATTTGATTCCCAAAACGGCCCTTTTGAGCCAGAAAGCAGCTTTACGGGAATCAAATTTCAAGAGGTATGGTTGAAGGATAGTGTATACACATAGGAAATTTGATTCCCAAAACGGCCATTTCGAGCCAGAAAGCAGCTTTACGGGAATCAAATTTCAAGAGGTATGGTAGAAGGAGAGTGTATACACAGAGGAAATTTGATTCCCAAAACGGCCATTTCGAGCCAAAAAGCAACTTTACGGGAATCAAATTTCAAGAGGTATGGTAGAAGGAGAATGTATACACATAGGAAATTTGATTCCCAAAACGGCCATTTCGAGCCAGAAAGCAGCTTTACGGGAATCAAATTTCAAAAAGATACCAAAAGCTACGGAGCTGTTAAAATGTTTTTTTCCGGAGCCTTGTAGCGATGCCGGTCCAACTTGGCAAAACAACCTAAAGAGAAACTTGCGCTTACCTTGCGCCAGACTTGGGTTCAAAACAGGCATTGCAAAGGCAAAAAAACTTCACTAAATCCAACCAAACCTTCTATGTGTATACATTCTTCTTCTACCATACCTCTGGAAATTTGATTCCCGTAAAGCTGCTTTTTGGCTCGAAATGGCCGTTTTGGGAATCAAACCTTCTATGTGTTTACACTCTCCTTCTACCATACCTCTTGAAATTTGATTCCCGTAAAGCTGCTTTCTGGCTCGAAATGGCCGTTTTGGGAATCAAACCTTCTATGTGTTTACACTCTCCTTCTACCATACCTTTTGAATTTTTGATTCCCGTAAAGCTGCTTTTTGGCTCGAAATGGCCGTTTTGGGAATCAAATTTCCTATGTGTATACACTCTCCTTCTACAATTTGATTCCCGTAAAGCTGCTTTCTGGCTCGAAATGGCCGTTTTGGGAATCAAATTTCCTATGTGTATACATTCTCCTTCTACCATACCTCTTGAAATTTGATTCCCGTAAAGCTGTTTCTGGCTCGAAAGGGCCGTTTTGGGAATCAAATTTCCTATGTGTATACATTCTCCTTCTACCATACCTCTTGAAATTTGATTCCCGTAAAGCTGCTTTTCGGCTCGAAAGGGCCGTTTTGGGAATCAAATTTTATAAGTGTATAATTGTGTATACACTCTGCTTCTACCATACCTCTTGGAATTTGATTCCGTTTTGGTAGGTATGGTTCCGTCTGTCCTGCCTACCAGCTCTGAGCCGCTACAGCAGCAGATGTTCACTGATACAGAAAAGAACAACGATATTAATATATCTTGCGCCCGCCCTTGCGCTTTCTTGCGCCTCCCAGGCAAAACGGACTACAAATTTACAACAACATACTCCATTCATATGTTTGTATAAAACTCCTCTGCGGGGGTTTTGATCGTCACTCATATGAAAACGCAACGCCAAAAATTGCAAAACCCTTGCCATAGCAAACCAAACCGTTGCGATTTATGATTTGCCAAGGTTTACCCAAACAAAAGGAATTTATTATATAACATAAACAGCATAAACAGGATGTGGTCAACAGAAACAAACACCAACAAAATGGTGGTAATGATCAATACTGATTAATGGAGACATGACACACCAAGTATATGTTGCTAATGTGTAATCATGGATGGATACTACGAACAAACACTAATATGTATATATATATATATACACATAATATATATATACACACTATAATATATATATACACACACTTAGATACATATATATATATATTGACAATACTGCTCTATAATAATAGAATTGCACATATCCAATTATATACATATATTATATTATAAACTGCTGGGATATAACCAACAATGTCCAAGAAGAACTGACAATTCAGCTGACACCACAACTGCACCAAGCGCACCACCGATCACATTGGTTTGACACTCTGTACAGTGCTAGTCACAGGCTGCTTACAACTAAAGACTTGCGCAAGAAAGTGGACAAAGTGTGTGGCAACGTGACTCCTTCCAGGCTCTTGTTGAAACTGTTTCCAAATGTCAAGCTGCGCAGATTAGCTGGCAGTGTCAGTCCTTCCAAGGGCTGGTTGAAACCATCGCCGAATGTCAAGCTCTCAAGATTGCCTGGCAGAGCCTCTGGTTGCAGGCTCTGATTGAAAGCATCGCCAAAGGATAAGTTCCGGAGACTGCTTGGTAGCGTCACGCCTTCCAGGCTTTGGTCGAAATCGTTGCCAAATATCAAGCTCTGGAGACCGTCTGGAAGAATTACTCTTTCCAGGCTCTGGTTAAAACTATGGCCAAAGGCCAACCTCTGAAGACTGTCTGGCAAATAAACTCCTTCCAGGCTGTGGTTAAAACCAGCACCAAATGTCAGGCTCTGAAGATTGGCTGGCAGGGTCTCGCGTTGCAAGGTTTGAGTGAAGCCATGGCTAAACATCAAGCTCCGAAGAGATCTGGGCAGCATCACGTTTTCCAGGCATTGGTTGAAAACACCACCCAGTGTCAAGCTCTGAAGATTGCCTGGCAGGACCACTCTGTCCAGGCTCTTGTTGAAACCATAGCCGAATCTTAACTTCTGTAGATTGCTTGGCAACTTTACTTCTTGCAGGCGCTGATTGAAACCAAAGCCAAATGTCAAGCTCTGGAGACTACTTGGTAAGGTCACTCCTTTCAGGCTTTGGTTGAAGTCGTCGCCAAATGTCAAGCTTTGAAGGCTACTTGGCAGGGTCACTCCTGCAAGACTCAGGTTAAACTTGCCGCCAAGTGTCAAGGTCTGAAGAATGCTTGGTAGCTTCATGTGTTCCAAACTCTGTTTGAAATCAAACCGACATGTCAAGTTTTGAAGACTGTGAGGCAGCATCACCCGTTCTAAGCTTTGGTTGAAAGCAGCTCCAAGTGTCAGGCTCTGAAGACTGCTTGGGAGAGCCACTCCAGCAAGAGTCTCGTTGAAGCCATCCCCAAATTTCAAAATCTCAAGACTGCTCGGCAGGGCAACTCTTTCCAGCCTTTGGTTGAAATTCTGACCAAAGGCTAAGCTCTGAAGACTGCTGGGCAGGAAAACTTCTTCTAAGGTCTGGTTGAAACTCGAGCCAAATGCCAAGGTCTGAAGACTGTTTGGCAGGGTCACCCCTTTTAAGCTCCGGTTAAAATTATGGCCAAAGGCTAAGCTCTTAAGACTGCTGGGCAGGGCAACTTCTTCCAAGTTCTGGTTGAAACTCGAGCCAAATGTCAAGGTCTGAAGACCGTTTGGCAGGGTCACCCCTTTCAAGCTCTGGTTGAAATTGTTGCCAAAGGCTAAGCTCTGAAGACTGTTTGGCAGGGTCACATCTTCCAGTGTCTGATTGAAACCCGAGCCAAGTGTCAAACTCTGAAGAGAATTTGGCAGGGCTGTCACCCTGAGGCTCTGGTCGAAAGCAGCACCAAATGTCAAGCTCTGAAGACTACTTGGCAGGGTCACTTCTTCAAGGGATTGGTTGAAACATGATCCAAACGCCAAGCTCTGAAGATTGCTTGGCAGAGCCACTGATTTCAGGCTTTTGTTGAACTTTTCGCCAAAGGTTAAGCTCTGAAGACGGCTTGGCAGCGTCACTCCTTCCAGGTTCTCATTGAAGAAAGGCCCAAATGTGAGGGTTTCAAGGATCAGTGGGAGATGATGCAAAGATTTCATTGCTGTACCTGCTATCTGCGTGATCCCCTCTAAGACAAGCTCCTCAGAAACTTCAAGTCCTTCTTGGAGAGAATGGAGAGAACACCAGGCGACATACAGATCTGTTGGAACATAAGTGCAAGAGAGTGTTGCAGCCTCACCCACCACGCCTTGCTCTTGCAATGTTTTGTTGAGCTCTAGCCTTGAATCAAGGTGATGCAGGGTCAGTTTTCCACCTTTCTTTGGCGGAAGGTGCTTTGAAGCCAGTCTGTACACATCCAATCCCATAGTGCAACCACTGAGCTTCAACGTGCATCCTTCACCATCCAGGCATAGTACATGAAGATCCATCACATCATCACCACTTGGCCGATAGCCACTCGAAGCACTGCACATCAGCTTCGTGTGGGACGAAGGCGGGACTTTGCCAGCGCCACGCAAGTTGCTTGTTGCTTGAGCGTTTACCCTCGAGGCAAGGACACAAATGCCGAACAGCAGGTTTTCTGCCAGCATATATCTAGGCAAATTGTAGTAATTCACATACCTGGACACGTTGGTCCATGTTCCGTAGAGACCAAAACACAACGGAAGCCAAACCCGGCTTCACCCAGGATGAACCAACAACAGGGGGCGTTCTTCCCCTGCTGATAATCCTATATCTCGCCAACCCACGATAATTCCAGAAACTGGAAGAAAGATAAAACACATGGAAGAAAAACAAACAAACATGTTCGACATGATTCCCTTGACATCCTTTACTATATAACCAGATTCGGGAACCGGCATGTGAAGTCAATGATTCCCACAGCTGGAAAAAACAAACTACAGTATAAATGTGGGATTGTTTATAGCCATGTTTGATTACCAGAGGGTAATTGATTGGTTCATAAATAATAGGATTCCTCTAGACTAGTGAGAAAATGATTGTGTATCCCCATCCAATTTCTTCGTCGTCCCTGACGAACCAGTAACTAAACCATCGATTTAGATTAATTTAGGGGATAAATCATCCATGTTGCAGTTGAATACACCTAGTATTCTTCATTCATGTCACCATGTCTCATGGGTGTATAAACCCGTGTGACAATTAAATCATATCAGGATATATCATGTCGTCATATCCCCAAATTTAGTGGTGACATCGTGACATCCCAAAGGTCATGGGTCAATATAGCTGGTACCGGCTGGTACCTACCTATCTTTTTTGCTGGTATAGCTGGATGGTAACTCCCCAAAATATGGTAATTCATAGGTAACTTGACCCATCCACATATCTCTTCAGTCTTCCATGGCACTCCACAGGTCCCATCTCCAAGCGACGTCGACAACACCGACACTTCAGGCACCAACTGAGGCGGATGGAATGGGAACTTACAGCTAGTGGTGTTCCAGTTCGTTCGCTAAATTGGTTTACAACTAACATTTCACTAGGGTTGATGCTAGATATAACATGACATAACTGTAGTTACCCTCATGTAAACGAACAACATCGTGTAGAAAACCCAGAAATCGAAGGTAGATCATTTTCCGAACTTGTTTTTCCATGGGTTTTCTATATACAGTACACCAATGTTATTAGTTACCCCAGGGAAAAAAATGGGGGTTCTAAGCCCAACTTATCACTGGGCAGCGCCTTGCATCTGTTGCGGTGGTGAAAATATATAATGAGCCAAGCTACAAACATGGAACAGTAAAATCCTATCAAAATAGTTTGGTATTTTGCGATGAATTTCCTGCTGGGCGTCACCAGGTTGAGCCCACGTTGATTCCATGGCACACTTGGGGCATATTCGGTCCCATTTCATTCGCATTAGCTTAACATGGAGCAACTAATAGTAACCCTGAAAAGATAAGAAAAAACAGTGCTTTTCTTTTAGACTGATGCACCAAACATTATTCAGTGATAAGCAGCCTCCAATAAATCATAATAAATCAACATAGATAAGATATGAAAAACCCAGGGCTTTGTTTAAAATAATCTGCATACTTTGGCTTCTCCATGTCTATGTCATCATACCAGAAGGGAACATATGGTATCCTGTTGTAGGCTTCATTCACAAAGTTGAGTCCCTATATCTATTGGGTCAAGTCTAATCCCGAGAAAACTGTAATCTTTGGGAAGTCCCAAGATCACCCGTTGTGTTGGGCACAGGCGTCCACACATAGCCACTCTGGTTGTCCTTCGCAAATTCAACGAGTTCCTGGCAGTCTACCCCTGGGATGATGTAAAATGACACCCAAATGCTTGGTTCAAGGTATGGTTAAAGGTATGATGCAATTGGGATTGGGTAAATCCCAAATTGCTATTCTAATGATTCTAATGACATCCAAGCGATCAAATGATCAAATGGTCACATACCTACACGCTTTGCCCCATTAACGATGGACCCTGATTATCATAATGTATTGAACAAGCTACAAACCAACTTAGCTAACGAGCTGGGGCACCACATGGTACAGTATGTATTGAAAGTAAGCAAAGCCGCTATGGCCACTCCCACTTACATTAGGAGTCCATAAGCTTGCTGGGGTCCATAGCTAAGGTATGCCTCAGTGATCATGAATAGTACAATATATATATACAGTATATAGAGCATATATTGATACAGTGTGTATATATATATATCCGTGTATATGTCTACATATATATATATACATACATATACAGTGTATGTGTATATTTATAGTGTATGTATATATATATTTATGTATGTATGTATATATATATATATGTAGATATATATATGTATACATATTTATGTACATATACATATATATATATATATTAAAATATCTGTAAGTATGTATATGTATATATATATTATATGTATACAAACATTCATACCTAAGTGGATTGTGGAAATTGTGGAAATTGTGGATTATGGCCAGCCAAGAATGGTCATGTAGATTCAATCACCAGTCATTACGGAACATATCAGAAATGCTACAATGACAGGCAGGCACAGTTGACAAAATGCGCATAGGAGGCGGGGGTGGCTGCTCCCAGTTTTCACATTGGACATACGTGGATGTCACTAGTCTCTTGTAAAGCAAATGCAAAGAACAGAATTGGGATACCTACACATGTATATGTACTGCTAATAAGTATCAAATTGCACCTCTTTCTCATATTATACATATATATGTATATAATATAGATAGATAGATAGATAGATAGATAGATAAATAGATATAAAAATCAGTGGTATACATTCTCAGGGAGCTTCAAAAACTCCAAGACTTGGACCACTTGGGCCCGTGGGATTTGCAGCTCAGTTCCCCCAAAGTCACTCCCGTGTCCAGGACAGCACCTGGGTGGCTGCCACATCCCGTTGGGAAACAAACCATTTTTTCTCGCAGATCGCCAGATCGCTATCAATGAACTAAAGTTATAAATCTCACAAGCGGCTGTGCACACATTGGAGGCATTCGGAGTTGATGAATCTACGAAACTGTGTACATGAGTTTACCTTATAGTTGCTGTTGATGTTTATCTCAAACATCCTCAAACTTAGTTTCGTGTAAATCTCGAAATATCGAGCATACTGGGTAGGGGTCTCCAAATAACGAAATCCCAGTTATGGTGATTTTGGGGATGGTGGATCCTATTGCTTTAACATGCTTTAACATGCTATAACCTTAACCACATTAACCACGTTCGGTCGGCAATGAATACATTCGCTGCTCCGCACCGCTTTGCGGCGCTCACTCCGTTTGAAGCAGCGCTTGTCTGGCCCATTTGGTCGCACCCACCTGGGAAAGGACGGAACCCAAAGCAAACATCTGATAGATCAGAATTGGTGATGTGCCTTACACTATGTAACATTATGCAACCATGAAACATGTTACTAAGCCAACATGACCATGTTAGTTATTTTAAAGAACAAAGCATAACATGATTGTGGAACCAAAACAACTCTGTTTATGGCAAAAAAACAATGCACACCGATTTTTAAAGAACAAACCATAACATGATTGGGGAACCAAATCAACTCTGTTTATGGCAAAAACAAAACAAACAAATTGCACAACGAAACCAAGGTTTAGGGGACTTCATCCAACAATTATAGATGAGTCTAACCTGGTATTTGAACCAAGAAACTGGAATTTATCATACGAGTATGTTTATATAATGTATTTGTCTTCAAAGGGTACCCAATCTCGCGATGGTAGATCACCATTGTCCCTACTACACTTGCCATTTAAGGGCTGGCTATGCCGGCACAATTCATTTTCAGACACACCCATGTACGACTCATATGATCAATAAAACAAAAATGATTCTGTCTAATATTGCCTCCCAGCAAATACAAGTCCAATGCTAAAATTGCGGTTATGCAAATGGTCACCGTTTGGAGGGTGGAGGGAATATATATATATACATATGCCCGCGGCTTGAGGATGCTTGAGGTATGTATTGAGCAATTCAGAATCGACGTGTTTTACAGTGACCCTGGGTATATCCTTAAAAAGGTGCATGTTAATGTTAATCCAAGCAAGTGGTACTTTTACCATTGCCTACCCTTCTATACAGTTGGAGGATCAAGGTACACCATGGAAATATTTACATATATTTCCATATTATCTTAATATATTTACATATATTATCATATATTTACATACTGAACCTCTGAACCACTGTATACTATACATTCTGCACATGGTACCATGCATTGCGAACCGTAGACATCCTTCAAAAAAAAACATGTTCAGTCGGAAATGTCTTCCTCCGCAACACAATTTCCAAAACAATCACATGAACCATTCAACACTACAATACTATGTGCTGCTCTGGTGGGAAATTCAGTGCTAAGACCTCATTGAACAACAACTGTCAATTGTTGTCCCATTCCAGACCATTCATAGTTTCCCATGATTTTCCGAAAAGAGTTTATCCACACTTTCACAGGCCGAGGTTCCACTTTTCCGCGGCCTTGATTCAGCGCCTTGGGCTCAAAGGCATCCTGGGCCCAGAACGACGCTCGTTTGGGGGTGACTGCATCATGGGGTATTGTCACTAACAATGTGATAACACAAGACAAATCAAATGGGGTATAGTATGTCTATAGTCCCTGTGTCTATACTCTGATGGGGTATATATGGCCGTGCCGGAACATCGTGAAACATCTATATATAAATCATACACAAGATATCACAAGATCTACAGAGTGACCGAGTATAGATCATGAGAGTCGAGTTTCCGATATCCCAATTAGGATACCAAAGCCTGCATAACTGCATAACAAATATGTTTGAAGTTTGAACATGTTCATTCCTGTTGTGAGATGACATGTTTCCATGATCATCCGATGGTCCCCAAGGTATTGGATACACTCCTATTGGGGATGCCATTCGGTAATCAAATGCGGCTTGCACTAAAGCTCTCATGTATGTGTAATATATATACATATATATATATATATATTAATATTTGCATGTAAATAGCCGATGGGATTTGCCACGTTTGAACTGCTGATTATTCCCATCAATATTTGGTGAAAAATCCCGGTTGTACTAAGAGTTTTGATGGTTAAATCATCTTAAATCAGCTTGAGCACCAGAGGGTACAGTATTCATTCATGATTTTGTTACCCTCTGGTAATTTAACATAGCTATTGAACATGGCCATAGAAATAGTGAGTTTTCCCATTAATAGCATGGTGATTTTCCATAATTTTGTATGTTTACCAGCACCAGTTGTGTGGGGTGGTCACCTGGGCACTTTCTTGCGGATCCCAAAATGGGATGTGTCACTGCCAAGATGCTGTTGGAATGGACCTGACAGCCAGGGGTGAAATGAAAAACCCATTTACCAAACCCTCCGGTAAAATGGATGAACATTGCCCATTATTCATTGAGTTCCTTGATTTACCTATAAAAGGTGGTGATGTTCCATAGTTATGAGATGTTATGAGTTTCCTGGCACCAACAAGACACTGAAATATGTATAGGATAACCCCATTTAGGGGCTTTCCTAAAGTGACTAGGGTTACTAACCTCTTACTAAGTGGGATGATCCTCCAAACGACAACCCTCTTCACCTCGGACTCCAAAATCGTCATTCCAGGCAGGTTGAACAACTAGAGGGCGGTTGTATGTGGATACAACATGATACAAGCAAAAAAGAGCGGAACTTGGGTTCCCCCCAAAAAAATACATCATTTATAGATCATCAGCATCACCATTCTAATTATGAAATTATCCGAAATGCCCAGCCAGCAATGTTGAACAAGCAAAAAAACACAAGCCGACTCTTGACACAACTCCTTCACCCTCTGGGAATGAATCATCTGTACGAGAAATCTTCGGTTGCCAGGTATGGATCAAAAATTAAGACCCAGGAAGACCAGATTTTGCTCCATAGTTAACAGTAACCATCTAATTATATCTAATTCTTGGGATCGCCCATGTGATCGCCAATTTTCACTCGTACCCAGGTGAGGTCAGAAAAATAACACAATTTCAACATATTTTAACACAGTTGCAGTTAACAAAAAAAATATCTAAACATACCCAAAAAAAATATTAATCAACACAGCTTCGAAAGTTACCGGTTCGATGTCCGAGCGGCTCGTTTCGTAGCGCCGTGAACCAGTAGTGCGTCTTCCTCGCTGCTGCACGGATGCCATGCTGTGGGTCTAGTCATTGGATGTCCCTCAAAATGTGAAAAGTGATAATGATTACGTTGAAACTGCCCAAGATGGTTTCAACAGTGTTGTTTTCAATAAAAAACAAAATCAACTGACCCATAACTAGATACCCGATATCCATTGCCATAGCCACCACATTAATTTCCAGGAATCGGATGATCATAATGGGAGTTGCAGCAAGAGGTCTTGAAGTTTGAACTGTCCCATCTCCGGCGTCTTCCCACTTGGAATCAAACAAATACATCGAAGGGTGCCCCGCTACAAATCATCATTGGTCGGCCTCTGCCGTCGCTACAATTTACCCAGATTATCCCAGATCCAAGTAACCAAAACATCTTAAATATATCAATACATATTTGTATCATATACATTGATATATCATGTTGAACACATTATTTAATGTCTCAATATCACAACATCATTATTTGTTATAATACATTTGGAAAAAAAAAGATCTACATGTGGGAACTTCATCCAATATAAATGGCCACGAAAACAATGGACCATCCTCTCCAGTGACAGCGAGCATCGGCACACCCACCCAGGTGAAGACCGTCATGTCGTTACGGAGCTCCGGCGATACAATGTCGCGCCACATGAAGCTGGTACTGACCTATTTCCAACGTGATGCTGGGTGAACCGGAAAGAAAAGATTTAAGGGATGTATACTATGTACATATAATCATATACATATATATGTATGTGTATAAACACATAGACACACATATTCATATATAATTATATACATATATATATGTATGTATGTATGTATGTATGTATGTATGTATGTATGTATGTATGTATGTGTATATATGATATATAAAGAATATATAATATATATGTTGAGAGACTTTTTGTAGATCTTGGGGGACGTCATGTTTAATCAGCCATCAACACTACAATACAAAAGGATAGCCAGTATAAACATGTATAAACCATGTATCTAGTCCATTCCAAGGGACCACAAAATCATTTCACGGCTTGAAACTGGAAAGTCATTCCATTCTCTTCTTACCATGAAAAAAGGATAATTTACCAACAACTTTGCGATTTGTGGCTGATCAATCATTATTCAGTTTACCATCTGGTTATTTAACATAGCCATGGAAAATCACCATTTTTAATAGGTAAACCATCTATAAATGGGCCATTTTCCATGGCTATGTTAAATAACCAGAGGGTATAGCAACGAGCAAAAGTCATAATTACCAAACCCTAGGTGAAGCCACTTACGGTACTCAGAGGAAACCCTGGAATTGGAGCATCAATGGATCGTAACTGGTTGGCAACCTGCATTCAGTTCACCCCTTTGCAAAACAGTGGTTACAACCGCTTGTTCATAAACCTGGCAGGTTTTCAAAACCACCAGGATTAGCCATATAGATAGATAGATAGATAGATGGATGGATGGATGGATGGATAGATAGATAGATAGAGAGATAGATAGATACAGTAGTTACTTACCAGCATTTAAGATAGTCAAATAATCCCCTTGATTTTCTGGAATTTCTATTCTTTAGGCTATGATACTGCTAGATAGATATTGCTCTAAAATTCCCTAAAATTCCGTAAATTTCCCTAAATTTCCCTAATTTTCCCATTTCCCTAAACCTTGAAATACCTAAAATTCCGTTAAATTCCCTAAAATTTCTTAAAATTCACTAAAATTCCCAAAATTTCCCTAAACCTTAAAATTACCTAAAATTCCGTGAAATTCCCTAAAATTCACTAAACTCCCTAAAATTCCATAAATTTCCTTAAAAGTCCCTTAAATTCCTCAAAATCCCTCATTTATCGTTGATTTCCATTGCCATCAACCTCATGACTAGAGGTGACCGGAACTAGTCAGGAGTCCCAAGAGGTGGTCAAATCAAATCGTTGGTTCCAAAAAATTCCACCAACAAATCATCTCATATTTTTTTCTTCAAGCTTAAGATAGTTTATGATGCCTGATGTTGTCACAAACATCACCTCCAGCTGTAAGCACTTAAAAATGTGTATATATATATGTATATAAGTTCATGTAGTTTCGCCCATCCAACTGCATACTATAAGATCAAAAAGGATCTCCACCTAGAGCCCAGTTTCTGATCTTAATCCATGGTTGGTTACTGGAGCTATTCCCAGTTCATGATTATTGATTCTCCCGAATGGATAACAGGGACATATCATCCCTAAATATATACATAAATATATATATATATATATATTATACATATCAAACCAATCCAAATCATATCAACCTGAGATTTCGAAACCATATACGGAAGATACCCAAGATATTCCAAGATACCCATTGAAAAACCCACATCCCCAGGGGATTTGTGCTTGCCGAGCCACATCCTCCTGGTGCTGTCGACGAAGCATCATCTGGGACGGGTAGCGAAGTGTCTGGAAGTTTTTTGCGAAACTGGCGTGTTTCCACCTGGTGATAGTTAAGGATATTAAGATACTATAGCCCGAATTAAGATGAAATTAAGATGATATTAAGGTGATAGTTAAGGTGATAGTCTATCGGATATTAGAGGTGATTTGGGGATAGCCCACTAGTCGCATCATTCCAATTCCAATAATGTCACTTAGTGCGGATTCACATGGAGCCTGGCACCGACCTGATCATTTTCCAAACAATCCACTGGTTTCTCAGAACTCGGAGAACTGTTGATCTGTACTGCAAAATTATAGTTATATATATATAATTATTATGAAATTAAATAATATTATATATATATCAAGTTATATCAAGTTACATCCATAGTGGTCCCTCATAGTCTGTGGTTTCAGAACCATGCTGCGCAACTCCCACTGCAGGAGGCTTAAGCTTTCAGTGGGTTAGAAGTCTCCCGTCTCCATCCATTCTTCCATGATCCTGACAAAACCCAACCCACTTCCCACTCCCAAGTCTCGAAGCCAGCCAGTTATAAGATTCATGCTAATATGTTTTAAGTTGGCTGTTAAACTTCATTAATATCCATTATCTATATATATATATACCTACCAGAACACCCTAGTTAATCTAGTTATAAACCGTAGCCAACTATGGCTTACCACCTTGCAATGACCCCAGAAGGATGGGAACTGTATTCGAAGCGACTGTGACTCACTAAGGGGTCCTATTTGCGTTGGTGCCTTGAAATTCAGCCAATACATGAAGTTTTCCGGATGCCTGTAAAAGAATAGAACTCACGACATTGCCTCATACTTGACCGATGCTCAAATTTTGCTATCTAAGTTTGGCCTGCAATAAGCCGATCTTTTTGATGGTAAGACGACAAACAATGGCTTTATGAACCACTAACATATGAATAAATATGGGATATTATGTAGACTCTAAGACAATCAGGCCAACAAGAATATTACAGTAAGTTCCATAATAATTCTCATACATGGGTTGTAAAAACTGATCCAAACAAAATCGCTCAGACTCGATCCGCACCTGCGCCAAAGGTCTTCTGGGGTCATCCGCTTTCTTGTTGGAATCGTCGTTGGTTTGCCTAGGCTGATGACATCTGGTGACAGATGACAGACGTCACTGGTTTGCAGCCTATAAACAAGGGATAAACCAAATGGCGGCAGTCATCATGCAAATATGTCTGAAAGCTCTGTTCTTACACACAAATTGAAATAGGACATGCTGGTAGAACCATGCACAAACTGCACAGATCAACACTGCAGAACGATATTCATCAGCAGGACCAGAGGTTGAAAAGGGCCGTATAGACGTCCGACCAAACAGATTGTGATTGGGAAGCCGCTTTGACAACTTAGACCAAACACGGGATTATATAACATTGTAATAGTGTATATGACTGTATATGTCCTGTTGCCCACTTCGACTTTACACAGAAATGGCAGCGTCTGCGACTCACTCAATATTTATGTGTCACCTCTTATTCTGCCTTCTTCCTTCTATACGAGGTTTGGAGGATTACACCCAGCCTGACTTCTGATGGGTGTCTACAATTTGTATAGGTCAGGCATGTCTCTGTCTGCAGAGTCCTTTAAACATGTTCTGCCGGATTCATGCCAATGTTCAAAATTCCAGGACCAGGCAAGTTTACTGAACTATATGTTGCAAAGGTGTCCAGCTTTCTGATCATGTTCCTCTAATCCAATTCCGGAACGCAACTCCTTTTTGTTTGAACCCATGCAGTAAATCACCTGACGATTTGCGGGCCTAGAATCCTGCCCAAATGTCCAAGTATCACTCAGATTTTCTGGATCTTTGTTAAGTGAATAATCATACCCTTTGGCCAACATGCAAAGCTGGACACTGTGTTTGTTACCTGACAAATCATCCACCAACTTTTCCAGGTCCAAGTGGCACGATGTTCCAAACGCCGGCCTCTTTACCTTGGGCCACTGTGGGGATGTAACAGACAGTAGGTGGGGGTTCAGCAACATCAATAGATTATGTTTGAATCAATGAGGTAACAAATCAACTTGAAAAAAACATCGATGCATAATCATATCGATGCAGATTGTATTCATGTCTGCTATGAGAGATGTTGTGACACATCGAGGAAATCAAAGCTTGGAGTACCCCCCCCCGCCCCCAACAAAAACACAAAACTGGTAAGTTGATAAATCCTGCAATGTCAGAAAAGCAATAATAAACCACCCATATTATGATGACGGTTTAGACTCACTCATTTATCGTAATTTTGGGGATGGTTTAGTATTGCTTTACCAACATTACTAAAGTTGTTCTCCCCCCCGGTGCTTAAAAAGCCGGAAACATCCGGTCTTGTTTCTTGGTGGTACCTTTGGGGTCGCCAATCTCCCGATCTAATTATATATATATATTATATATATATATATATATTGGTCATGTTCTTGGCTAAGTCCAGTGTTTGCTGGTTAAGTTCCCCGTTCTTACGTTTTGCGTCAAGTTGATGCTTTTGTTATCTCGCTGATCAAACCGCAAGTTGTGATGATCCGTATATATTGCTCTGCACAGCATGAGCAATCTTAGATACCCCCCAAAAAAATATGTCCAGCTGGTCTCCCTCCACATTCGACTATCAAGTCGTTGCCAAGTTTTGAAGTATGAATTATCCATCACCAGTGTGCTTACATCTATCTTTGACAGTGCGAACCCATGTTTTTTCGGTTGGCGAAACACTCATCTTAATGGCGAGTCGTCCCAACCCTTCACGGCGTAGCCAGTCGGATTCAATCCTCATGGTAGTTTGTTAGATAGCTATGGAAGCCATGGCCCATTTACTTCGTTGATTTACCTGTTACTGTAAAAATGGTGATGTTCCAGATATTTTCAGACACACCCAAATATCATGTTGCTGCTAATATCTCTACATGTACATACATAGTTATAGTTCTAATAATACTCATAGTGACAATACACCACAATGGTAACAACAGCAACAGTCATAAAACTACAAAACAATAGTACAATAATAATGACAATAACAATACCAATAGTAATAATCATCATCACGATCAACAGCAATATCATATCACACGAATATCCTCATCAATAGCAATAATATAATGTGTATATATATATATATACATTCATTTATTCCACTAATAAGCCATGTATATCCTCATAGAAAAACAGCAAAACACCAAGCGGCTAATGTGTTGAATCTCTGGAGTGTCCGCCAAGGACTTTCCAGTTCCCCTATCTTGTGCAATCACAGCGCCCTCGAAGGGGCCTCCGGCAGCAAACAATCATATCTAGCATTCAACAACCGGATGTTTTGGGATGTATCTACTATACATATATATATATATATATCAAAACATATCAAAACCTATGTTTCATGAATTGTATTATCATCTATTCAGTCCTTATCAGCCTTATCACTTACCCTCCAGTATCCCTCCAGAAAATTAACATAGACCCTGGTAGATAGGGTTGGAAGAGTAGTTTCCACTAAGGATGGCTTATTGTCAGGGTCTATGTTAATTTATCAGAGGGTATTCATCTATAAATATGGACAACCATCAATGCTTCAACCACCATTTGGGTATGGGTCAAAATTGAAGAGCTAGGGGACCACAGATTTTAGACTAGTATGATCCATCCAATGTTTTGGGTACCCTCTGGTAAACTAACATAGCTATTGAAAATGGCTATTTAGTTCGTTGATTTACCCATTAATAGCATGTTGATTTTCCATAGTTGTTTGTCTGTTTACCAAGGGGTATATCCTAATAATATTATCATAATATAGTAATATATATATATAGTCTTCCCCAGATAGATGGAAAAGTCAATCCCTACCAATTTGATGGTGATTTACTTTTCCATCTATTTGGGATAACTATATATCATATTATATATATATATATGGTTGGTGGTTTCAACCCCTCTGAAAAATATGAGTTCGTCAGTTGGGATGATGACATTCCCGATATATGGAAATTCATGAAAGCCATGTTCCAAACCACCAACCAGATATTTCATTAACCACTATTAACCACTATTAACCACTATATTGGGAAATCACTATTATTGTTCCAGTCACCACCAACCAGATAGAAAAACCATATGACTTGGGCTACTCCAATGACTTGACCCTTGACCCAGCTCATCTGACACCACGCTTCCCACGGCCCACCTGCTCCTGCCATGATGAAGTACTGCGGCGCCGCCCAGTGGCTTCGACTCATCTTCTCCAAGGCGGTCTGAGGAAAATCTGGAAAAACCATGGGGATATGGTGGGTATACCCTCTGGTAAACCTACAAAAAGCGAACTGGAAAATCACCATGCTATTAATGGGCAAATTTTCTCTATATATATGTATATAATTAAATAAATGTGCCATTTTCAATAGCTATGTAATAAATTACCAGAGGGTAGGGAAAACATAAAATGGAGAAATGGGAGAATGAACAGTTTGGGATTTTTGTCAACTGAACGTTGCGAGGAATTAAATAATTGTAAATGGGAAACAACAATCATGTCACTAAAAAACCAACCACAATGGGGATATATTATGGGATAACATGTGGATAGAATTGGGATATTTCACGGGATACCGTGTATACAAGCAACAATAATATGGGTTTGGTACGATTTGGTAGGTCTGGAAATGGTGGATTTACACCTAACATTATTAGATTGTTTCGTCTAAATACGGGGGTAACATATTTATTAACGAGTAACTGTAGTGGGGCACACAGTTTCAGAGAGACTCATGAACAAGCGGGCTAGATCACCAACACAATCATCGGGGTACGTACTACCAACAAAAAACACAACGGACATCGCCAATCTCAAACAGAAACAACCAAACATATTCAACACACTCCCGGCATGATACATCTATTTGTATACATAAATGCATGAATGGATTCTTGTTGGGATCAATGTAGAGAAAAACCATACATGGAGCATATATATCTATATAATTATATGTATATAATAGTATATATATATACTGTATATATATATATATATACTGTATATATGCGGGAAACTGCTGTGTAGAAGCAACACATTTAGTGGATGTTACCGTCCGGATATTGCTCAATGGCCTATACCCAATGTTTTTTGCTGGTTTGGAACGGGCATGAATGGCATCCATGAAAATCAACCATTTTCATTCTAATTTGCCGATCATTTTCCCATGGAAATCAGGAGGTTCCACACCTTGTGAAAACGTTTGCTGGAAGGTAGATCGTAAATGACTTGAGAGTAAGCACTATCACAGAGCCAACAACCAGAACATACCAGAAAAAAAAAGAATGTCACTTTCATTCCCATCTTACATCACTTGTGTCAAGTTCCAACATGTTCAAACGAACTCGCATGTGACGAAGGCTGAACATGATCGACTAAAGAAATGAATGTGTGAATGCAAACAAATATGGATCTAACTGGAGCAACAGTCAAATCCCATTGTTTGGACCCAGTTGACTTGATAAATTGGTTTGATAGAACTGTGGTGAGGCGATGTGGTCTGCCCAAACTGTTTCGACTTCTTAACCGTTGAATACATTTGGGGTTGTATAAAAACCCGGTATCCTTTTAGGCGGTGAGCCCCCTGTAGACAAGAAGTGTGATTTTTCCAGCTTCTGTGGGTGTGAAAGCATCCTTGGTCATCCTTGGTTTCATTTTGCATTAATTTCCTTTCGTTTTGCATTCATTTCCTTTCATTTTGCTTGCATGTCCTTTCATGTTCCGTCGCTGTGTATCAAAGATACTGGTCTTCAAAAGCTGATATGCTCAAACTGGTTAGGTGTGTATCCGCCCAGACGCTCGCGTTTTTTTCATATTTTGTTGTCGTTGTTGTTATCGTTTAGCTATCGTTTTGGAGGCCTGTGCAGGTTGCCATCTTCACGCCTCATGAACATGTACAAGCTCGTTATCGTTTTTCTGGGCCGGTAATGCATTGGACAGTGTTAAGGTGCAAGCCAAGCTAAAATGAAATGCCCGGGGTTATTATACTATCCCATTTAAATACAAACATTACGACCCTATGAACTAACAATGACCGATTTTGAATGATTTTGAATCCATAACCACTAAATTCACTGTTTCATCCGCTGTACCGCCGCTCCTTGTAGTCTGGAATGGTTTGCATGTAATGCCTGCCGTCTGCGAAACAACAACTGCAGTCACCTAAGACATGATAATCCCTTTTCGTCAAACGGTCCAAGAATTCCAAACCTAGCCAAAAGGTAATGATTATTGTACCAAACAAAACAACAAATCCAGCAGGACGTTTAACCATCAACAAATCAAAATGCGGGCGTAATATGGAAGAGAAAAATCATGGATAAAAACTCAAGCAAACTGCATACTGCAGTGCTAAAAGGACCTCACTAACAAACATAGCCACTGTACACGTGTATAGAACGTGATAATTATTGGGAACACACGAGTATATATATATATTAATATATTATTATTAGTATATATATATATACACACATAATAATATAATATAATATAATATAATATAATATAATATAATATAATATATAAATATGTACATTGTTGTGTTGCAATATAGCCTATACATCTACAGTAGTCTTAATATGTCGTAATGCATCAAAAGCCTGTATCATATGTATAACATGCCCGTCTCCACTTCCCTAAGACAACACTTCTGAAAACGCGCGCGCGATCCTGACAGTCCATCCAAAGAGCCGTCCTGGCACTGGGAGCTGAATTGTTTGTTCCCATGGAATGTATGCCCATGATAATGCAGGATTATCATACCTTATATTTATCCATATATATATATATACACATGGAACTTGTCCATTATTTGGTACGATATATGTAGCATTACGTAAGCTAAACAAATCCAAATAATGCTGGCTGTTCTTTGACATCTCAAGTCAACATTTGAGATTCTTGGAGTGAAATCGGATCTGTTCAGATAGTTCGAGGCAAGTGCCATGCCTAGGTCATTGTGAGAATTCACAGTAGGATTCTGTCACAGTAATGGAGATAACCCGCTGAGATTTAGGATCACAAAGTTGGTATGATTGGTATCATCAATGAGTTGTAAAGAGTCGCGAATAACTTGGATATCTATTGTTTATGGGGAATATATATATATATAGTTTTATACAACAATTTATGACTGGGGCCACCTTCTACGATTGGGCAACTTGTTTCAAGTTTCGTGACAGTGTGATCAGTTTGAGTGTGTAACTTGCCATTTGTCAAACACGAAAAAAACAATGATCTGGATTGGTTTGTATCATGCTCGCTTCCAACATGGATTACCCTCCGGTACCCTGACGAGGACGCTGAAAATTGAGAAAATGTACGCACGTACTATGTTAGTTGTTTTCCTTACTTTTGCCAGTTTTGCAAGCGTCCATGTTAGTTTGACACATGTTACAGGTCCACTAACATGGACGCTCAAGCAGGTTTTTTTAAAACCGTATTCAGCTAACATGGACATTCCTAAAAAGATTTTTGGCTTCTTACGGCGTCCATGTTACTTCATCGATGTTGAACTTTTGGCGGATCCCCATGTCAAACCGTCTCCCTGCTGTCGCTCGTTGTGCTTGTCAGGGATGTTCATGATAGTGGACTTGTCCATGGGTCAGTCATGCAACTTCCCCATGCACATTTCCAAAGCAAGAGGCGGCCAGTTTTGCCTAATTTCACTTTATAGAAGTGTCAAAACAGCTTCAAAAATCACAACTTCGACCCGGCCCCAATCTCAGACCTGCAAACTGCAGGGGGCCGACTAACATAGACATTGACGAGTCCCAATTTGTGAGAATAGTCTTGATTGCATTTAACAAATCTCCTGTTAACGGCTCTCCTTTTGGTTTGTCCTTATTTGTTCCCTGTGGTCCCCCCCTGGGCGCTGGGACGTGCGAAAGAATCTCCTTCTGGTGCATCTCCATGTCAAACCGTCTCCCTGCTGTCGCCCGTTGTGCTTGTCAGGGACGTCCATGATGGTAGACTTGTCCATGGGTCAGTCATGCAACTTCCCCATGCACATTTCCAAAGCAAGAGGCGGCCAGTTTTGCCTAATTTCCCTTTATAGAAATGGTTAAATCAGCTTCAAAGACCCGCCACTGGGGAAGTGGCTGCGACAAAAAAAAGGCAGCTGTGGGCCGAGGGGATCCAGGGTTCACTTCTCAATGTTTTGTTAACATAGACGTTTTTAGGTTTGGGTGTACAGCCTTGGCGGCATTCCCGGGGAACTTACCAAAATATGAAAATTTGTCTTGTCCATGTTAGTGCACACTTTTTTAGCTAAATTTTGGGAGGACCACGTCCTTGTGAGCTAAATTGTGATGGTTTTTACCAGATGCACGTCCATGTTGGTGGTACGTTTTTTTGGCCTCCACGTCCACGTGAGCGGAAGGGAGGGTAGTCATCTAGGAATCACATCTTTCTCAAGTTCGGAAGTTTGGAATATACTTCATTTTTCAGACCAGAAAAAATGCCAGCAGCTGGCTCAAACCGCTCACAAAGGCTCACCGCTCCTCCACGCTTCAACTCTTCGAGATTCAACTTGTGGTCGTTGGTGAAGCGGGTGTTTTGTTCAAAGCTCCATCCATCGAATCCTCTGCGCCCCTTTTGCTGCACCCTGTGTAAGGTTCAAGGCTCAAAAAAAAGAAGACATTGCTTCAATCAATAGTAGGGAATAGGTATCCCCCATTGATTCAGATAGATAGGTATCCCCCTGACAAAATGATTCAAAGTCAGTGGCAATGTCCAACATTGCTTCAATCGGCCATGGCTGAGCCACCATGTTTCTTGGTGAAACCCCAATCTGATACTCCATGATACTCCGTTGTGGCCGTGAATCTCAAATTATGCAATTGAGCCATTAAAATACCCCTATCCCGTCTCATTACGCTGGTTGGTTGATAGGTTTCCCTAATATGGGTGATAATGATTCCCATTAACCAGGTAGTATAACTCCATAAGACCAATCAACAATGGTATTTTAAGGGGAAATGGTTGATGTTTTTTGGGGGTTGTAGTACCCTTTATATATTGTGGGTTATTCACAACCCATGGACTGGGAATCCCAGTGAAGCAACGGTTGTTTTGATATGTTCCAATATGTTAAGTGGCACTCCGCTTACCACATGTGGATCAATGTTGTACATATAATTATAATATATATGTATATATATATATTTATATGTTATGTTTTCCCAGTATATCTACCATGCTGGTGGCTTGTCATTGTCACCCTCTGGTAATAAAAACCCAGCCATGGAGAATCACCCAATTGAAAATCGTGTATGTGATGTGCCTATTAAAAGTCGCATTTTTTCATTGCACCATTAGATTACCAGAGGGTATCCCATACATACATCAGAACCCACAATTTGGTAAACTATTCTGTATAAAAGTTCCAGTATGTTCCAGTATGTATCTCCATACAATACTCCATGATACTCCAGGTATACCAGTGATATATATATATATGTGTATATTGTATTATATCTATATACATATCCATCATTATGGTTCCTGTCATTGTGGTTCCTCAGTTCTCCGCCCAGTTCCAGTGTTGCCACAATCGCCAAGCCACGCATGCCAGTGTGGATTCCTCGTTTTCGGCGCATCCCACGATCCGAATCTTATCGAGATAAGTTGGTCTCCATATCCTCAGAAAATTGCTATGAATATCCCGTTCTCCATATCCTATAAGTATCCCAATTTGAGTGGAAGTTAACGGAGCCAACTAATATCAACTAATTAGTTGGCCTTACGACCAGTACCTATGCTTGGAGGCAGCATCTCCAAGCCATGCTGAATTCACGATGCCCGATGCGCTGGTCTGACATCTGATGCTGGAGAAGCCAACATCTGAATTGTTGTTCTGTATTGTTTGATTGTTCTATGTTTTCTGTATTGCTTTGTGTGTATGCATCCCACGATTGAATGGTAAGACCAAACCAAAGTTTCATCTCATGCTTCCATAATTCTTGTATAATATATATATATACATATATATATATATACAATCCCCCTTGCAATTTGGGGGGGGGGCGCTGGGACCCCTGATTCTGTAGAGGGCCCCAACGTCAGGCACCAAAAAACTCTTTACTAAATCAATCTCTGCTCTCCAGGGTAGGGAGTTACCTTCTACAAAATCAAGAGCCTTCCACAGCAAAAATATCTGACACGGAAAATTCATGTTTTCTACAAAATCAAGAACGTCACATGTGAAAGCATCAAAACAAATCAAAAAATATCACTTGTTGAGTTAAAACCTCCAAGGATGATTCTGTAGAGATTTGTGTTAGAGTCGATTCTGTAGAGATGTTTTGTTGATCTTTGATTTTGTAGAACGAATGTGTTTACAAGTTTTACAAGTTTTACAAGTCCCATCCAAAGTCCCAAGTGCCTTTCTTTGATTTTGTAGCATGAGTGTGCTGACAAGTTTTACAAGCTTTAAAAGCTTTACAATCCCCTCCAAAGTCCCAAGTGCCTGTCTTTGATTTTGTAGCATGAGTTTCTTTACAAGTTTCACAAGTCAGTCCAAGATGTCCCAAATGGCCAGCCTTTGATTTTGTAGCATGAGCTCCTTTACAAGATTTTACAAGTCAGTCCAAGATGTCCAAAATGGCCAGTCTTTGATTTTGTAGCACGAGTTCCTTTACACGATTTTACAAGTCAGTCCAAGATGTCCAACATGGCCAGTCTTTGATTTTGTAGCATGAGTTCCTTTACAAGATTTTACAAGATTTTACACGATATGACATTGATGAGCATGCTTTGACTACAAAATCAAAGACCTTAGGACGTCACCAGCCTTATTTCTACAAAATCAATCCCCTTCCCAAAATGTAAGGTTTTGTGCACTTCTTGCTCAACGTTGGGGCCCCCATTACAGAATCAGGGACCTAACAAGATACAGTCCAAAAATGTCCAAAATGGGTGATTTTGGGGTGTTTGCCAGCCCATGGTCCTTGATTTTGTAGCACAGTAGGGGTGCAGACTGGCTCTCCAGAATCGAAGGTTTTTTGGGTGTCAACACCCCTGATTCTGTAGAGGAAATTGCAACCAGGATTATATACATATATTACATAAACATAATATATCAATTTGCCATGGTTTTCCATGATTTACCAATCTGTCGCCCTTTACTTTTCGTTAACTTCGCTCCCCCCTTCGTCTTCCGGCGCACCGTTGAAGAGAGCGAAGCTGGGTGCCATGAGAAGCTGCTTCCCCTGGCGCCAGAAGATGGCGTTGAAGGCCAAATCCTTCGGGCAGATCTTCGGCAGATCACTGGAAAACTCACCATCAACTATGGAAAATCACCATGTTTTAATAGGTAAACCCATAGGATCCATGTATGATATATTAACATTTACCATCAATATACCCCCAATGTTAGCATATATACCATACATGGATCCTATGGGAAATCAACTAACAAAATTTTGGATACCCTCTGGTAAACCTACAAAAAGCCAAGGAAAATCTCGAGTTTTTCATAGGTAAATCAACTATCAATGGGCAATTTTCTATAGTTAATGTGGGTAAAACAATGTCACAACCCACCCATGACTGGGAATGGTAAAACATACCACCTATAACAACCGTGATGACTGGGGGATGGTTTATGGCACTGTACCCACATTACAGTCGTTTTTACACCATCCCCCAAGTTTCTTTTTTATCATAAATGGGTGGTGTAAAACCATGTGAGAAGTTTATTGATTGCTTTCCTAACATCATGTGGATTGAATGGGGGTTTCAACGGGTGTTTTAAAGAATATACAGTCTATAAATGTATGCAAGTAAATGACGTATGATATATTATATATAATGTATATAATGGTATACCATTATATAATATTATATAAATACAATATTATATGATGTCATTTACTTGCATACCATTATATATCTTATCATACCATTATATATATATATATATACACCTATTATCTAATAGTACACGGCATAGCATTCTGCAACTTGGCTGGATGGGATATAGGGCACACCTCTAAAGCCGCACTTTCTTTGACCATCCAAGTTGTGAGGACCAAGAAATGGTGATTTTCATAGAACAACTAGCAATTGGGCTGAAAAACCTACAAACATGGGACTTGCTGTAAACAAAACATGGCAGAGTCAGAAACCACAACGAGGAATGCAAGCTACCAAAATGCTTACCTCCTAAAAGGGGAAGCCCGGACGAACAAAAAGAGATCAGAGGAGATCTATCAGGGGTAGACGTAGGGGCTTTAACGACATACAAAGAAAACATGGTGAACAATGGTGATTTATATAACCATCAAATAGGGAATCACCCCATAACCGCATTGGGATATATACCAACCACAGGATAATTGGAATATCATGGAAATAGATATACCAAATGACAAATTGTCGGGTGAGAACCTTGTCTGCAGTTTGACAAACCTTGTCCTGGTAACAAGAAAGTGCGGGGATACGCTACTACAACAACAATTCATGAGGATACTAAAAAACATCTAGTATGGACATTTTGGCTGCACAATGATAAAATTAGATTCAAACAATCACACATAAGATATCAGACCCCAAACTGTTGGTATGTGTTGCTCTGACAATCCCACTTTGAAGCACGCCAACTGCTTATCCGTATCCAATTGCTGAAGGCAATCGTTGAACCGCACAAAACATGACAAATGACAGATGTTTGAACCACCAAACATTTCACAAAGCCCTAGTACACCCTTCCTTTTTGGTGCCCTAATATTGTTTCTATACAGTACAGGCTTATCTTCCAACACCTTCAAAGCGAGCTCATTTCATGAAGACCAGCGAGTTAGATCAGTCCAGGGGCTGGCCAATTGTGTTCACTGCCATCTGGCATCTTGTACAGAAAATGGAAGTCCAAATTGCCTCGGTCCAAGGCTGCCAGAACCCCATCGGAATTTCCCGACGAGGCCTTTAATAGGATGGGATTGTTGGACCCATGAATCTGTCAATACTAAACATGATTGGATCCAACCCCTGGATCAACCACGACAACCTGGTCGCATCCACATATTCCCACAGCGAAAAAAAGGCCCAATCTGATGCCCATTCCATATTGGATGTCATGGACAATCTGATCCCCTGCGAAATATTTCTGAATCTTGGTCCGAAAAAATCCTACCCCAGTTACGACAAAAACATGTTGAACTGATCCAAGGTTTCTCCAAATGTGTTGGTTTCATTGGAATTTATTGCAAACTTAGTTGGATGCTGCTAATCCATGTCTATCGTCGGCTACCCAGCAATGTTTTGTTTAGTAAAAAATCACGCAATTATTATTATTCCACAATCATGGCAAAGAAAACAACACACGTACAAGCCATTCACCAAGGAATCACACAGATTGAATGCATTGACTGTAGATCAATTTCATAGGCAAAAATTACACGTCACAGACCTTTCACCAAAATGTCCCGTTTTACATCATTGCACAACAAAACAGTTCTTTTTCGAAAACCACATATAATATCATATAATATCATATAATATCATATGATATCATATAATATCATATAATATCATATAATATCATAAAATATCATATAATATCAAAAATATCATATTATCCTTTGTTATGCCTATAGAAACAATTAATCAAAGGATCTAAGTACTATTTACTGATAATTATCCCATAATTATCCCACGTTTATTAACATTTATCCCATAATATCCCATAATTATCCCTATATGTCGCCCCAATATGTTCTTTGTTTAAAACCAACCCATTGAGCTCCGACCGCGCTGAGCCAGGCGTCGGCCATGGATCACGGTCCCCGCCACATCCGCCGCCAGAATGCCAGAGCAGTCGTTTGTAAACTGCAACTCCTGGGGGCGGTGCCATGGTGTCATCGGGCCCCAGGTTTTTAAGGTGGTTGAATGGTGGTTGAATCACCTAGCCGGCTAGGGGTTTTGACATGTTTTGACGTGTTTTGACATGTATTGACCACTCATGTTCGGTTTTAGTCATCAAGATTTTGGATGTACGATTGATTTGTGATAGGTTTATGTTGGTTCTTAGCTGCAAGAGTGAATGGCTGGACTTGTGGTGGAAATTGATAACTCCAGTTGAATGCAGGTGAAACGAAACCAACAAACCCAACGGTGGGGGCCCACTTTGTTGTGGTTGATGCTAGGATAATCCCTGGAGTCAAATAAGTAATTAATGTCAATAGATGTTGCCCTAAGTCTGCAATATCAGTAAATTCATGGATTTCTACGTAGTAAAACTGATTTCGAATATTTTGTGTATGTTTCTCCAATTTTTGCAACACTAGTAAGATTACGGTAGTTCGCAAAAATGCATCAAAAGTGCATCAAGAGTTCACGAACTTTTCGTGAACCATCCCAAACCATCGCCTGAAAATCCCTAATTTTTCCCAAGAGTCGTAAACGGCATTGAAGAGCAGAATCTGGTCATAGAGCTCCTGGGTGAACAAAAATGACAAGGGACAAGGGTTGGAGCTTCCCAGTGGCGAGGTTTAATCAAGAATTGAAAAAACTGGAGTGATATACGGGTTTGGTACCTGGATATTTGGGGGAAAACACAAGCATAAATCCAATGCTTGAAAACCCCATTGAAGCCATTCAAATGTAGTCGTTTGGGAGGTATGCACCATAAATCCAAGCATTAGCCTAGCAGCCTGGCTACAAACCAACTCAATGCACCTATCTGATTGTGGGTCCCTTCTTGGAGAAAATCGTTGAACAATCATCGGTTATGTCATGTTGCGTCTGTGAATTAATTAACCCATTCTTAAGTGCAGGACTTCATGGATGTTGGGATGTTGAGGTACCAATTGTTTGCGAATATATCTAAATATGTACACAAACCATTGTTTCATGTACGGAGTAGTAATTATTGAAAAACAATTTACTGTACCAAGAATGACTCAAGCTCATGCTGTTATACCAAACACCGAGAATATCAATGTTATGTGAACAGTCATGAACAGTCTATATGCGTGTATTAGTAGCGTATATACTGCCACTTGTAGAGGTCACAGCCACAACTTAAACAACCGAAATGTACACTACTGATGTTCTTAACATTGAGAACAAACGCACTACCCTCCGGAAATCAAACATGGTCATGGACAATTCCCCGCTAGATGATTTTCCCATCAAAAACCTCCGTGTGTATATGGGATCTCTATGGATTTCTGATTGCAATAGTAGGGACACCGGAGGGTACCCTCTGCTCTAACTCGGCAAACCGAAGATTTCCAATTTCGATGAACGTCCACGGCCTGGTTCCATCATCGGTACTTGGGGGTGCAGAAATGGGGTTAGGAAGAGAAGAAACCATGGCAATTACCGCCATAACTTGGCATATAACCCCGACTCTGTATGATCAGTATGACTCTGATATGTTGACTACTGTTCTATATCCCATAGGATCCATGTATGCTATATATGGTGACATTTACCATCAATATACCCCAAATGTTAGCATATATACCAGCACCATGGATCCTATGGGTATGAAACTATAACCGCAACTGCACACTCACTATATCCTCATTACGTCTGGAATCCCTGTCTGAACTCCCACAGATGTACCTTGGAAACCACCAAGGTACTTCTGAGGCGTGTCCCTTCGCCAAATCCTTCGCAATGCCTACACGAAAAACATAGAGGAAACTTGGCCGGTACTCCTGTGGGAATAAGCCACAAAGTTTTAGTTCGCTGGGAAAATCATGGAACTAAATGGTGGATTGTCCATTGCCATGTTTGATTACCGGGGGTATTCTTAGGAGACTCTTGTTATTCTTTTGGTGCCATTCCTCGCCGAAATAAGATCAAACATGTTGGCTTTGTTTGAATGTGCCAATGTGTTTCTGGATCTGCGATTCTTTGAAGAGGGAGGCAAGCAAATAGATCCGGTAATCAATCATGGCAATCAGAAATCCCCCAGAATTGGCAGTTAAATGGGGAAAAACAGTTCCATTGCGAAGTTTGATTAACAGACTGGTCATCTCATTGGTATGTATATATATATATATCCCATGATATCCCCGATATATTCCCATATATCTCCCCACCAAAACCCTTATGTTTAAACATCCCCAGCCTGCAATCTCTTCTTTGAACTCCTCCTCCTCCGGCACATGTGCCTTCAACGCTGCTACCTCGCCGTTGGGAACAGCAGCGGCTATGGATCTCCATAGGCACAAATACATGACACCATCATATACACATAATCACATATAGCAGTGGCACATTATTTGACAACATCGGTATATGTATATATGATTCCGATAAAATATGTAGTGACATGTATTTATTGTATACAAACATACATGGTTGATTTCGAGATGTTCACTTACACACAGTCTAGCCCAGTTTAGTTTTGACTCTCTCGAATTCGGAAAGAATCTAAACATCTATCTGAAACTGATCATTTGACATTCATCACTGAGGAATTTTCAGCCGGCGATTTCTTCCAGCAAAAACAGGGCTCAGGTCTCCTAGTTTGAAAAGACTAGAGCCGGATTGGCATAGCCCAAGCAACCCATTGCTGCACTTCATCCTCTGCAAATTTCTCTTTCAGGACTTGCTTCATTTGCGCCAAAACGGCAAGCTGATCCTGCAGCTGAAGGGCTGACCGCTTATGCAATCGCGTGCCCTGAAGGAAACTGAGAAAAAGATATGGTACAACAACAGAGAAGCCCTAGAAGAAGTTTTGATAAATGGTGGATGATCCGAATAATGTATATATATATAATATATATAATATATATATATCATACATTTACATGTGAGGTTCTTAAAAAACTTGCACCACCGAAGTTGGATGGTTGTTGGTCCTACAGAATGACCGATTTGAGAGCAAGGTTGCAATAAGCAATATTGGGCGAACTCACAATCTCCATTACGCCAGTTTCGTAAAACCCAATATCAATGTACATTATACAGGCTTGAATATATCGTGTATATGATATGTATATGTATATATAGAAACAATCACTCAGTCAGTCTGTCAGTCAGTCAGTCAGTCTGTCAGTCCGTCCGTCTGTCAGTCAGTCTGTCTGTCAGTCTGTCTGTATGTATGTGTGTATGTGTGAATGTACTGTATGCACTGTATGTATGTAAGGTATTGTATTGTAATTGTATTGTAATTGTATTGTAATTGTATTGTAATTGTATTGTAATTGCATTGTAATTGTATTGTAAATGTGTTGTAATGTGTTGTATTGTATGTATGTTGTATTGTATTGTATTGTAGTGTAGTGTAGTGTAGTGTAGTGACAGTGTAGTGTATTGTATTGTATTATATGTATGTATGTAACGTATGTATGTGCATAAAGTATACTGAAAAGCCAGCCAATCATCATGTGCACCCTGTATCACAAGGTGTGCGGTGTGCAGCTGCACATACCCACTACTGATGATTGACATTAGACATCAACCACCAATGTACTAATTATGTGGGTTTGTCCAAAACATGGGTTACCAACAAATTCATTGGTTTATTGTCATTTTACCTGTTCAAATTGTCGTGAATTGGGGGAAGGTATGTATCCAAGTCATTTTCAGTCACACCAATTGTATCTTTTTGATTATATGATCCATTATATTCCATGATTTTCCCTTTATATCCTAATTGTATCTATATCAAATAAATAACAACTTTGATATTCCTAGGTTAAGTCCCAATGTCAGGTTCAACCCACAGAACTACCACATTTGTTTCACCATCTTTGATGGTTAAACCATGTTAAACCACCATATCTTAGGCATTGCTGAACAAAAACGGCATCCTGGAGCTGCTGACCCTGCAGTTCAGCACTTATTTTCTAGTGGAGCGATATACGGCATATGTATGTATGGCAAAAAAATATCATACATATGTCGGTTTTCTATATGTATACAGTATACATGTATATGTTCAGTATAGGTTTTCTGTATGTATTTATAGATATGGACATTACAGCCATGCATCAGATTATACATATATATATATATATACAAACACACAAATAGGAAGGTAGGTAGGTAGGTAGGCAGGTAGATATGCCGCTATGCCATTTGATAAGTAATTTGATAAATAGATATAAATAGTGTGTCTTCTTTGCGACTCCTGATCCAGGGAAATACCAAGCTTGAAGGCCGAACACGTTTTAGACCCATGCACTGTTCGTCCATAGGGTTCGACTGTGAATACCTTTTGAATGCCAAGTCTTCTTAATTAAATACCCGGTGAATAGCTAATAAAATACCTAGTGAATACCTGTAAAGAAAACGCCCAGTTGTGGAAACCCCAATTGGTGCATAGATTCACTACACTCCACCAGGGTTTCCTTTGGGAAACATGGACAAACCCGAACATCATATCCTCATCAAAACACGATATTCATTCTTGGAGGATCATCTGCCTTAGAAACCGGTTAGCAATCCTGGTCAGTAAGTTTCGAATTCGTGAGTTCTCCCATGTATATATATATATAATTATATAGATATATATATATATATCCCATAGGATCCATGTATGCTATATATGGTAACATTTACCATCAATATACCCCCAATGTTAGCATATATACCATACATGGATCCTATGGGTATATAACTATGTATATATATATAACTAGTACCTATGGTTAATGGCCACTTAGCATCTGTGGGATGATCCTCCAAGTACTGTAGGTTGTGACTTTTTCAGCCCCATCAGCTCCTGGCGAAAGCGTGCAGTGACTTCATGGAAGCGTTCTGCCTTGAAATCGGGCTGGGCTGGGCTGACCCGCCAGTGTTATATATATATAACCCATATGAATGGGATGTTGATTGGACATTTATACAGATTTATACATAACCAACAATATCATAGAATTGGATGATGGGAAAATTTACAGGAAAACCCGATCAATTTGATGGTAAAAACCATGGTTTCCGGTTAAAATTTTCCCTTTTTCACCAACCCAATGACAATGACAATATATGGATGCATTAAGAATTCGGTTGGGTACCTCCAACATAGTATTGCAATGTTGAGAACGAACGTGTTGCTGCAAATCATTGACCCATTGACCAGTGGATGGAATCGGGCACCCTGTTTTCAGGCAAACCAACATGGTTCTCATTGCAACAAGAATAAGCAACTGGCAAGCACACCTAACTGATTATGATCATTCCAGACGATGGAAAGTTGAAGAACATCGGCCGCCAGATCTAGTCAAATACTGTATCTGTTTACAGGCATACACCCCTTCAGCCATGGGGAAAAGTACGAATCCAAAATGGGTCGAAGTACCAAATTGTAAGAAAAACATGTTCATGGGTACTGTGAAGGTCTATGCGCTATCAAATATCTTGAAATGAAAGCTCAGGTGATCTTCTTCTGCAGGAGACACATGCGCAAAAGACCATCCTGCAATGTGTTTTTCCCTACAACATTTTCGGTCCAAACACTTCTCTGGATACCCTTCACATAGCCCCTAAATCCCAAACAACTGTTCAACTCCAAACCAAACATGAGAAATGAAGTATCATAAACCATCATAAACCATTATAAACCATCATAAACCATCATAAATCATAAACCTTTAATACCCTTAATACGACCTGGTTCCGCTGCTTCACCCATGAGGCCATCAGGCGAGCCACTGGAGGCAAATCCAGGTTGATGTGAAAGGTTGGCATCGCCTCCACCTCTGGTGATGTGCAAATTTATACTGTATTGTGAATTATATATATATATTATATATATGTGTGTGTGTGTGTGTTACCAGTATGATATAATCAATATATGCGTATACATCATTGTATATATATAAATATTATGTATCCATGTGCAGGTGACTGTAAATGCACAGACGACCCGAATCATGTTCATTTCAAAAGGTTTCGACATACCATCAGTGGATTCAAGGCCTTAAGTCTGGGTATAACATCGCTGTTCCTATCACAGTTCTCCAGGTTCAAACAACTGCAGCCCAACAATGTGTCAGACTTGCGAAATCAATATAGTTGCACACACACACATATATATATATAATAGATTATAATAGTAAAGTATAGATTATCATAGTACATAATATGCATAATCATATGTATATATATATTGAACAGAAAATTTGGGCTCTTAAATCTGATGAACACTCCTGAGCACTGTTCAGCACCTTTTCACTCAGTTAGCTCGAAGGTGGCTAAAAGCACTAAAATGGCTGCAGCACATATACAAACATATGTACTACATGTAACATGGCCTATACTGTACACATATCCGATCACGCCTCCCGAGCCTGTTCGGAGGCACGGTGAGTCCAAGTGTTTTGAACTAGGCGAGTTTTGATATGTACAGCGGAGCATAGCCACGACTCAAGCCATCTATGCCTTCAGTGTCAGGTGATGTTCACCTTCCAGAAAGTGAAAGTTCATATTCCGCAGGGCTTTGTTCATCTTCTCCTCTATGACGGGTTTCGTCAAGACGTCGGCAAGCATATCGCCAGTGTCGACCTTCTTCAGCCGAAAGTAGCGCTTGGCAACGCGGTCTTGTACCCAGTGGTATTGAGTATCCACGTGCTTGGCCTTGCCTAATCCTCTACGTGAACCCATTGCTATTCCTGCACTTGCATCCACGAAAACTTCACTCTCAGGTTGCAAACCCCAGTCTTTGGCGGTTGAAACTTCTCCCAGCAAATTGCTGGCACCGCTCACAAGAGCGTAATACTCACTCTCTCCAGACGAAAGACTAACAACTCCTTGTCCTTTAGAATAAGTCTTGATACAACAACCACCGGCCATCAAGACGCCTCCTGACACGCTCTTCCTCGTCTTCACGCATCCAGCGTGGTCAGCGTCAGACCACATCACAAATGGACTGAGTTTGTTCTGATGAGGAAAGAATTGTGCCATGCGTGGTCGATACCTAAGGTATCGTGCAACTCTTTTGAGCATAAGCATGTGGCTGGTAGTTGGTCGTTGTAGCCCTTGTGCTAAAGATCTTGTTGCTACTTGCAGATCTGGTCGGTCTTGTGCCAAATAAGCTGCTCGCATTGCAACTGATCTATACTGGGTTGCTTCTTCATCGTTGAGAAAAACAGCGGCATCCTTAAGATCTTCCACTGATCCTTTGGTAAGTGGTGTCTTGACTTTGGCTCCTCGGGGACCATCTCCGAGTAAATCAATCACCAACTCTGCTTGACGTGCATCTGGTTCCCACCAAATTCCATTCTCCTTCCACGTGATGATTCTGTTCAGGACTCTGATGTCCTGGATGGTGTTTGGTGTTCCTGGTGGTCCTAAAATACCACGTTCCACACATTTCCACTTCTTTGACAGCTCTTCATGAAGCCATTTGATGTTGTCAAATGTTCCTGCTGTTGTAAAATCATCTCCATGTACAACAGTTCTGAGGTCTCGGCCTGCATGGTAGTATATGCATGGATTGCTTTTTCCTTGCTTGAAACCTAAGGCCAGCATGACCTTCTGTATCTGCAACTCCCAGTTGAGAGGTGCATCTCTGGTTCCATACAATGACTTGAGCAATCTTCCTACCACATCTTCTCCAGGCTTCTTTGCTTCTGCAGGAAGCTCCACGTAAATCTCGCGCGTCGCATCTGAATAAAAGTGAGCGCGTTTCACATCCAAAAATCCTAGAAGTCTACGCTTGCGATAGGCTTCCTTGACAGCTTTTCCAGCGTCTGCAACTGAAACGTGACGGCTATTGTAACTAGCATCTTCAAAGCAGACAAACTGGGCATGGCTGCGAAGAACTCATCAAAACCTGAGCCCTTCTTGACTTCTTGAGCTACTAACCTACTTCTACAAAGTGGATTCTCCTCATCCTGCTTGTTGACATCTACCCATCGTGTTCCAATGGTGCGTACCCCTTTGGGCATCTTGTGTCTGGGAATCTTTTCCCAAACTGGAAAACATTCAATAATTTCGACCTCATCTTTTCTGGCTTGTTCTACACCTTTGCTGTCCAAAATCTTTCCACTGATATCATCATAATAATACCATGTAGCTGCTTCATCTTCCAACTCCGGTGGAAGAGGAATTGTTTCTTCGCAAACTGGCTCTTCTTCACCTTCAATGGACTGAAGATACCTCTCCCGATCTTCCATGATCAGGTTCATAAGACATTGGTCTATATCATCCATGTCATCTGGTCTCTCATTCTCAGGTGGCCGTTTGGTGCCCTTAGACGCCTGAGCTGAAGCAGCTCGGCTGTCTTTGGCTTTTGACGTCTCGCCTCCTGAGTCTGCAGGTCTCTTCTGACCTTTGGTTGGTGACATCTCCAACCTCTTGTGTGATCTTTCTTCTTGCTCGCCTCCTGCTCTCTTGGCTGAGGCTGAGCTTGCACTAGCTCCTACTGCAACTGGAGTAGGATCTTGTACTACTGGTCTCTGCATTGGACCGGCCGTAGAGGCTTGTACTACATCAGGTCCAGTAGTTGGCAAACTTGGCGCTGATTCCCCTGTGGCAGAATACCACAGCTCAGTGACAATATCTGTGTCATCAATCAACGGTGCGTTGATGACGTCCTCTCCTAAATTAGGATCAATTGGTTCAGACTTAATCATGTCTCCTGTCTTGAACTCTCTGGTGACTCTCCACCAGACGTTATCCCAACTGGGACCTTCTGGCATAGTACCCTTGAGATACCTTGCATTCCTGTCAAGGCGCGCAAACACCTTGAAACCTTGAGGGACTCCTTGTGGTCTCTCACTTGAATATCCATAAAGGATCTTTGTGCCTTCTTCGGACACTTCTTGTTTCTGACCAGTGATTTCAGAATCAACCTTGGCCGTATGTTCGGGTACCCTCAGGTTGCCCTCTTCTGCTTGAAGCAGACGTTCCATCCTTTCTCTGCAAGCTGGAGTGTGATGAACTCCAGTGCCTCTCTTGCCAATTCTAGTGGCATCACAGGCGACACAACCAGCTGTGTAGCCATACTTGTCCAAATCACGTTTGGTGATGTAAAGTCGTCTTGTTGACTTCTTTGGTGACTCAACTGGCACTGATGGCGCCAGTGGCTGCTGATCTCCCTCAACAATCTGAGGAAGCAAAATGTCATCTCTTTTTGATGCCTGGGGATCCCAAGGAACCCCAGTGACTGACATCAACGTTTCGACATCATATCTGTCGTCAGCACTCTTGCGTCGAATGCTTTGCACAGTGAAAACACCTGATGCATTCCCCACTATCTTTTCAGTGGTATTGTCTTTGACTCCCAAGAAAACTCCTTGGTGCCATCTTTGTTCAAACTTGTGACCTCTTTTGAGGAATTCAATTGTTTCCCCAAATGGTGGTAATGACACTCTCCACTCACGACCACGGTGTCTAGAGTACGGTGTCTTCCCATCTTTGACTTCCAATGATCTGTGAAACAAATTGTAAGTGGTGCTAGCATGTTCAACCAACCATGTCAAAACTGGGTGGTCGTCTGGCACCTTTCTTCCATAGCTTGTCTCCAAGGCACTTCTGAGTGTCCTGGATTGAGATTCAATAGCTTGAACTGCTCTTTCAATTTCCCCTTTGGATTCTGAGACTCCTTTGGGAACTTTTTCCAAAACCAACTGTTTGTCAAAACCATTCTTGGCTGCCTCAACTACGGAGTTGAGTGCAGGCTCTGGGTCATACCTCATGACCATCTTGGGGTACCCAAACTTCTTAAGGTCATTCAAAAGACACTTAGACCCAATAGGACCTTGGGTAACTCCCTTGTATGGCAAAACGTGTGCGTAGGTCAACTTGGACCATCGATCATGTACTATCAAAACTGGTGCATGTTTTTTCTGCACTTCCTCTGTGATGACAGTGTCATCCACTGAATTCATGAAACAATAGTCAGCTGAGATCACAGGAACTGTTTCATCTGAATGATCTACTTTGACATGTCTCATTGCCTTTGCCTTGCCTCTAATGCAATGTTCACACCAACTCCTAAAAGGATAATGGCTGACAAAATGCTCTTCTTTTTCTCTCTGCGTCGGCGCTGCTGCAGTTGGTAGTGCTTGAGAACCTAGCTTACTACTGCCCGGTTCATCATCTCCACTACCTGCGCTCTCTGTGGTTTCCACAGGACTTACGCCTTCAACCCTTCTATGGGCTGCCCATGAAAATCCATGGCTACTTTGAAGACTCCTCCAGTCATTGTGATTGGTACCTTCTTGGCTCCCCTTTGCAGGAACGATCCTTTGGGGCCGAAGGTCACTGTCCAGCCTTTCTCAACCAGCTTGGACACAGATAGCAATGGCTTTGCCACATCCATTGCCCGGAACTGTCCCACACCTTTGACTTGTGGGCCTCCTTTCTCACCCATTGTCACCATGGGGTTGCATATGCCGTGCACCTGGACTGGTTGTCCTGATGCATTGGTAAGCGGCTTCTCATCCACAGGCGTCATAGCCAACTCCAAAGATTGTGCCATCTCCTTGGGTAGGCAACTGGTTGCAGCCCCTGAGTCAACGGTGGCCCAAACAATGGTATCCACCGGAGATGCCAAACTTCCCAGGAAGTCGAGGTTGGAGTCTGATCGAACTCCTCCTCCTGGTGAATGCTCCCTGAGCTTGGGAGATGGTGACTTCTCCTTCTTCTTCCTGACTTTTCTTTCCATAAAGTTGGCAGCTTCACGCACTGCCTTTTCCAAGAATCTCTTGGCACCTGTGCTGATTTTCCCCTTGCCCTTGGACGCCTGGGCT